AAGCAAGCGCAAGGCCCTGGGTTCGGTCCTCAGCTCCGGAAAAAAAAAAAATTCCAAATTTCATGTTTAAGGAGGTGAGGGAAGGAAGAGGACTTTGCTGATGTCATCACATGTCTGGAGCCAAGGTCCACATCTTCCATCAGATTTTGTTACTCTCTGATTAAGGACTCCAATATGAGGATAAGACAGTTTTGAGGGTGAGCTGTTTTCTGCAGCTGTGAACAGGTCTGTCATATTTTTCAGTCTCTTAGGATGTCCCTTCTCCAAAATATTTTTACTCTATTAAAAATAAAGGTAAAAACATTAAAAAAAAAAAAAAAAAAGATTGGTCCAGCAACGTGGCCGGGAGGTGGTGGCACACACCTTTAATCCCAGCACTTGGGGGGCAGAGCCAGTCAGATCTCTGTAAGTTCAAGGCCAGCCTAGTCTACAGAGCGAGATCCAAGACAGGCACCAAAACTACACAGAGATACTCTGTCTAGAAAAAAACAAAAAAAAAAAAAAAAAAAAAAAAAGACTGGTCCAGCAAGATGGTTCAGTGTGTAAACGTACTTGCTGCTAAGCCAGAGGACCTGAATTTGAACCCTGGGACCCACATCACAGAAAGAGAAAATCAACCCTGATCTCCACACTCATACCTTCCCCTCATACACAAAATAGATAAAAAAATTTAAAAATCCTGAACATCTAAAGAAATGCATGGAGCAAGTAAATGCCAGACTCGGGAAAATGATACTCTCTGAGTTTGAAGCTGGGAGATGTCAGAGAAGAAATTTCTTTGTGTAGTTAAACACTGTTCCTTAGGAAGACTGGTAAGGAAAAATTATACTCATCTTCATATCCTTTTATATGGATGAGGGGGTCATCACTGTAGCTTTGTTCCAGAAAGGTTATAATCCAGGAGTTGTCTTCTAATTCTTTTAAACTCAAAAAGGGCCACAGAAAAGCCAATTCATCCATTTTATTTTATAATTTGAGACACTAAAGATACCTAACTGGGTAATGTTCTGGTTTCAAGAAACAGCTAGGCCAGAAATCAGACTTCCTGTTTGTTTATGTCAAGAGTCTTCTTTGAGAAGGAAGTGGCAGATACCAAGATTAGTTATGAACTTTTAAGCCAGTTTATATTTTGCTAAGTTTATTTAATTGGTAGATATGGGAAGTGGCATATTTATGGTTTATACTTTTGTTTTGTTTTGAGACAGGGTCTCTCTTGCTGTGTAGACCAGGCTGGCCTGGAACTCACAGAGATCCTGTTTCTGCCTCTGGAATGCTGAGATTAAAAGCATGGATCTCCTTGCCTGGCCATAGCTGACTTTTTATTGTAGTAAATCATTCAGTGAAAGCTTATGAAAAGCATAGAAGAAAAGATGGAGATACTCTGTTAGGTGTTAAGTACTGTTTAGGCAAGTTCATCGGTGGTTTAAGAACCGGGCTGGGGGCCGACCAAGAGGGCTCAGTGGGTAAGGGCACTTGCAAACAAGTCTAATGACTTGAGTTTATCCCTGGAACCTACATGGGAGGAGGGGACAGATTTCCCATGTTGTCTTCTGACCTCAACATGTACAACATATCAGAACCAATCATGACAGGTAAGGCTCCATTTATTATTTATTTATTTAGACAGGGCCTTGAGTGATCGTCCTGCTTAGTCCTCCACGTGCTGGTAAGGCTTTAATTTTCTAAGCCATGTTCTGTTTGACACATTTATTAAGACTTTATTTTAAAAAGTTATTTATGGCTTGGCGTAGTGGCACACACCTTTAATCCACTCAGCAGGCAGAGGCAGGTGGACCCTCTGTAAGTCTGAGCCCACGTCTACATAGTGAGTTCTAGGACAGCCAGAGCTACAAAGTAGGACCCTGTCTTGAAAAAACAAAATTATTTGTGGAGGCCCAAATTACTCAGGGTCAGAGAATCTGAGCTGGCTTTACGTAGCAGGGCTGCATTAAGGGGATGATTTGATCACAGGCGTGGTTACCAGGTGCTTGGAAGGGTCTATACTTGGCTGTACAATGTGCTTTGATCTAGCAAGGGAGAAGTCTTTTCCCCGCCCATTGGCATTGTTATTAAAAAGCCCTTTGGAATAAACTTCTGGGCCGTTGAGTATTGATCCAGGCCCTCCCAAAGCTATCCTGTGTTTCTGTCTTTCCTCTTGGTGGCTAGGCCTATCATTCTGATATTTTCTTATCCCTCTCTCCTCAAGAGTACCCAGTGTAAAGTGGGGGCAGGTACCCCACAATTATTTATGTATCTGGGTGTTTTGCCTGTATGTATGTATCACTTGTGTACAGTGCCCTCAGAGGCTAGAAGAGAGTGCTGGATTACCTGGAATTGGAGTTACAGATAGGGGTCAACTGCCACATGAGTGCTAGGAATCAAATCTGGGTCCTCCTAAAGAGAGGAGCCATCTCTCCAGCCCCCTTATTAAGGCTTTAGATGAAGACAATTTGTGCTGATAAACATTTTGAAAAATAAAAAGAGAAAGGGCTGACTTTTTGGCATGCACATGCACCAAGGTAACAGCAGCTCATCCATAATTGGACTGACTACATTTTCTTTACCTGACAATCAGACTCTTTTACTAGACCAGTTTCCAGGTATTTCTTTCTTTTCTTTTTCTTTCTTTCTTTCTTTCTTTCTTTCTTTCTTTCTTTTTTTGATATTTTGATAGGATTTTTTTAAAAAATAATTTATTTAAGTTTATCTTATGTGCATTGGTGTGAAGGTGTCAGATCCCCAGTAATTGGAGTTACAGACAGTTGTGAGCTGCCATGTGGGTGCTGGGAATTGAACTCAGGTCCTCTGAATGAATAGCCAGTGCTTTTAATCTCTGAGCCATCTCTCTAGCCCTCTTTCTTTCTTTCTTTCTTTTTTTTTTTACATTTGAAACTCAGGCTTGGGCAATTGTCTTTATCTGCTGAGCCAGCTGGCTGACCCCCAGGTCTTTTTCGGAAGCCTCTAGGTCAGCTGTTTGCAACCTGTGGGTCAAGACCTCTGGGGGGAGGGGGAGATACTCAAATGACCATTTAACAAGAGACACATATTAGATACCCTGCATATCAGATATTTGTGATTCCTAACAGTAGCATAATTACATTTATGGAGTAGCAATGAAATAGTTTTACGGTTGGGGGTCACCACGATGTGAGGAACTGTATTAAAGGGTTGCAGCATTAGAAAAGTTGAGAACCACTAGACTAGATTGTTCATTTTAAAGAATCAGAATTTCATGAGGGGATTAATTGTAAGTCCAAGATTCCAGCAGACAGTAGGAAGGAGTCTAAGTTAGCCAGATGCTATTTAAAAGATAGAAAACAAAGTGCTGTTGGGAAGTTGATTAATTTAAGAATGGATCTCATGGTTATCACCCTTGTGGACCTAGAACTTGCTATGTTAGTCACGGTGGGTCATACTTGTATTCCAGAGGACTGATTCTTGTTCTAGACCAGCTTTCACTATATAATGAATTACAGACCAGCCTGAACTACAGAACGTCATCCTGTCTCCAACAGAAAAGAACCAAACCAAATCAACCAAACAGAAAGGAGTTGCACAAAGAGAGGGGAAATACTTGAACAGGGTTTACCTAAAATTGCCCTCCCCCCTCCTTTGAGGAAACGTTGTGGACTTCAAACTCATTGTCAGTGACTGTACAAAGAGAATCACTTCCTCAGTGCCTTCAGAAAACTCTGAATCTCCCAGTGCGGGAAAATTCTAAGTAGGAGCTGGGCACAATGGCTCACACCTTTATTCCCAGGTCAGCCTGGTCTACATAGCGAGTTCCAGAACAGTCAGAGCTACATAGTAAGACCCTGCTCAAGCAAAACAAAAAGAATGGGATAATATTTACATTGGAAAGAATGAATTTGTACTCTGGATTGAGGCAGAGGCTGGAGGATCTCTGTGAATTCGATGTCAATCTGGTCTACGTAGAGTTCCAGGACAGCCAGGGATACATAGAGACCCTGTCTCAAAACGAAACAAAGCAAAGGAAACAAAAATAAAAAACGGGGTAACATTTACATTGGAAGTAATGCGTTCGTACCGTCCTCCAAAATACCCAGCTTTTAATAGAAATTACAAGACAAAATATTTCAGCTTAGAAAATTCTCTCTCGAGCCGGGCGGTGGTGGCGCACGCCTTTAATCCCAGCACTCGGGAGGCAGAGCCAGGCGGATCTCTGTGAGTTCGAGGCCAGCCTGGACTACCAAGTGAGTTCCAGGAAAGGCGCAAAGCTACACAAAGAAACCCTGTCTCGAAAAACCAAAAAAAAAAAAAAAAAAAAAAAAAAAAAAAAAAAAAAAAAAAGAAAATTCTCTCTCTCGGGATTGTACTGAAATAAATGAGGTGGTCTGGGAGAGGCGAAACCGTTTGGGCCCGGCATAAGTTGAAGGCAGTTTGCTTGAGATAGTTTGTCGACCCTTGAGGGTGGTGGGGAAGCATGACCTGATTCTGTGATCCACGTTAAGCTCCGTCTCACTGTTCTTTGCCCCTCTCTTTTAGCATGTATCACTTATTTTGTAGTCATTCATGAATAAACCAGTTGTATGTTCCCCAGTGAGTAACAACTGGGATGCTGTTTCCCAGGCGGCCACCACCACCGCCTGGCTAGCTTCCTTCTGTTTGGATCGCCGGGGATATCGCTGTGCATTTCGCAGGATCCCAGGAGTTCTTCCTAGTCTTTCAAAACCTCTTTATGCAGGGCATGGTGTGGTATGCCTTAAATCCCAGCACTCGGGAGGCGGACGAAGTGGACCTCTGTGAATTCGAGGCTACATAGTGAGTTCCAGAACAGCCAGGGTTACACACAGAGTTCCTGACTCAAAAGTAAAATAAAACACTTCACCATCTCTAGCGGCCATGCTCCATGACCGGAGGAGACTCTCTTCCCGGAGGACCGTGTACTCGATGGTAGGTCCTTCAGCCTTTCTAGCTCTCGAGTCCTCCAGGGGCCCCCTCTATGGTTTTGACCGCCTCCCCGGAAGCTCTCGCGAACGCTAACTTGGAGAGACCGGAAGTCGCGCCGCCGCCGTTGCTCGCAGTTTCAAAATGCGGTGGAGGCCTTAGGCGCCGCTCCTGCCGCCCCTCCCCTAGCTCGGAGGGGAAGCGACTCGTGGAGCGACCGTAAGGTGTGGCGGTGGGGTCTGACCCCCGGGGTGCGGGGCCGGGGCGGGGGGAGCGGACGGGAGGCCCGGAGGCCGTGTGGCTGGCGGAGCGGGCGGGAGGAACCGGGCCGGGGAGGGCGGCCGGGGCCGGGGAGGGCGGCCGGGGCCGGGGGAGGGCGGCCGGGGCCGGGGAGGGCGGCCGGGGCCGGGGAGGGCGGCCGGGGCCGGGGAGGGCGGCCGGGGCCGGGGAGGGCGGCCAGGGCCGCGGAGCCGCTCACGGGAGAGGCTGTGGGGGAAGGGTGGCGCTCCGGCCCCGCGGAGGAGGAAAATGGAGTGCGGCGAAACGGGTTGTACAGTCCCAGAGTAAAAGTGAAGTGATGGTGCTGGAGTTTCAGCTGCACCTCAGATTTGCGGACGATTGAGGGACTTCGAAGGAAAGGGGTCGGAGAAAGGGAGGCCGGGAGAGTGACATTGACGGGACTCAAGAGTTAAATCATTTTTAGGGTTGCAGCGTGTCCTAGTGTTTGAAAGATGTTCGTTTGGGGTCCACATACGGACCTCGGGTATTTTTTTTTTTTATTTATTATCCTCCACGGATATGCATTTTATTATTTTGTTTTTGGTTTTTGAGACAAGATCTCACTGTGTAAACAGCCCCGACTAGTCTGGAACTTGTGCAGACAGGCTTGCCTCGAACTCGCAAAGAGCCACCTGGCCCTGCCGCCCAGCCTGCTCCTCCACCTCGCCTGGCCCACGAATATGAACTTTAATTAGCACACCTCCCAATGATTCTTGTACGTCCCCAAATTTCGAAACCACTCTATTAAGCCACACCTGGATAAAAGGCCCGCCGTTGTCCTTTTCTAGAAAGGCCTGTGTGGGTTAGGAAGCTCCACCATGCATGGGGTGTGTCTGTCAAAGATACTTTGTGGGAGCCCATTTTCAGGTTCCTCGTGGCTTTACCCAGCAGGTCCGAATAGAGAGAATGGTTAGGACCATGGGCCTGAGTGCAGGTGTCTGAGGTGGTCTGCACTTGGCTGTGCTGGGGGGAGGTCTTTTGCTCCATTCGTTGGCATTTCTATAAATACCCTAGGGCAGAGACAGTCAGGGCTCGTTAGAATAGGTTCCAGGCCCTCTCGAGGCTATCCTGCATTTTCTATCTGTTTGTCTCCACATTCTAAATCCTTCTATCTAATATTTTCCTGCTGCTCTCACTCAAGAAAACTGGGGAACAGTGGGGTTGGTGGGTAAACGCCCCGTAATACTTGAAACCTTTACTAATACTAGATGTCAGTTGCTGAATATCAGTTCAGGTTTAATCTACCCCTTCATCCATTCCTGCTAGGAAAAAGTATTTTAGCTTTAAAGTATTATATACCACACACTTTCACTGTACTGGTCAAGACCACAACAAACTCCTGTTTGAAAAAAGTGTGAATGTGTAAAGTTGACAGGCCAGCCAGCATTCCTAACCCCTCAAGTTTCCTAGTGTTATAACCACCAGGGTCTTACAGCTTTCCTGACTTACTCTACACATATTCTTAGTTTTAAACCGTAGAGGGATCATTTTGCAGGTATGCACCTTAAATTTTTCAGATAACAGCAGCTTTCTATAAGATAGACTTTCTTTTAAAGTGTTTTGCATTGTAGTCCTTTAAAAAGGTTACAGAAGCCATTTCTTTAGCTGGGTCCTCTTTGGTGTACTTTTAGGTTATTTCCTGGCAAACTGTTGCAGTGCATTTTTTTTTTCCTGCACACTCATCTTAAATGTGTAGCAAACTTGGTAAGAAGTGCACCAGCATCTGATTTATTTTTTTGGGACAGGGTCTCACTGTGTAGATCAGGCTATCCTCTGCCTCCCAAGTGCTGGGATTAAAGGAATGTGCCACTGTACTTGGGCATATTCTCTTTTGAAAATGAGTTTTCATTCTTGTTTGTCCAGTTTAGTTGAACAAGGGGCAGGAGAGATGGCTCAGTGGTTAAGAGCCTTGGTGCTCTTGGAGAGGACCCAGGCAACTAAGGATTGCTTGTAATTACAGCTCCAGGGGAATCTGATGCCTCAGGCCTTTGTGGACATCTGCACTCATGTACATAACCCCCCCCCCCCACAAGGACATGTCATTAAAAAGAACTGAACATGTTACCTCAAGAATCTTATAGCTTAGAGAATTGTTAATTGCAAGTCTTTATTTTTATATATATATATTTTTTAAGGAGTTTTACATTTTAGTGTTAAAATAACGGTTGTCTTTGCTGGGTGTGTGGTGCATACCTTTAGTCTCGGCAGAGGCAGGCAGATCTCTGAAAACAAGGCTAGGTTGATCAACAAAGTGAGTTCCAGCCAAGTCAAGGCTACATAGTGAGACTGTCTTTGAAAAAAAAGTAAGAAATTACAGTTGTTTTCAAAGGCAGGCATTTCAAGATGAGGTGTAGGAGTCCCTTGGACTAAATATAGGGTAGAACCACTTACCATTGAGAACACTAGACTTTTTACTCCAGTTTCAAGTTAGTAGGGGCATATGAAAAAACAAATGTAATTTTTTTTCTCGGGATCATCAGGGGTCAGCATTGATGAGGATTTAACTAAGGGCCTTGTGTTGTTAAGCATATGTTCTCACAACTCCTCAGATAAATGTCCTAATTCTGGTATCATCGCTTTCCCTTTTTTTGGAGTCAGCAAAGCCTTCTTCAGGGAAGCAACTTTTGACCTAATTTGAAGACTGACTAAGACACACCCCCCCCATTAATTTTTTTATGCGCATTGGTGTTTTGGCTGCATGTGTTCCTGCATGAGGGTGCCAGATTCCCTGGAACTGGCGTTACAGACAGTTGTGAGCTGTCATGTGGGTGCTGGGAATTGAACCCGGGTCCTCTGGAAGAGAAGTAACTGCTCTTAACCACTGAGCCGTCTCCAGCCTTTGAGCCATCTCCAGCCCCACCCCCTAATTTATTACATTTATTTATTAAGTGTGTGTGTCTCGTGAGGAGAGGCTGAGGAGTCCGTCAAGAGTTCTTTCCTTCACTGTTTTGTCAGGCACTTTTACCCACCGAGCAGTCTCTCCATCCAGAGTTAAGTCCTTTTTAAAGCATGGAGAGAGGAGAAAGCGTAGGTGTTAAGGCAGTGGCTTTCAGATTAGAGTTCAGGCTTCAATAGCTGTAGTGGGAGAACTCAAGATTTGGGGCAGGCTGTCTTCCTGTCTGTGTCGGTTGCTTCTTTTGGAAATGAGGACAGTATTCTACTTCATGACACCCTGTAAGGATCAAATGAGTTGTGTCTAATGTGCCTTGACGAGTGTCTGACCCAAAGGTGTTGGCTGTTGTATAAACAGAAACAGGTTCTACAGCACAAGACTTAACTTTGTTATGCACTGTCTTATTTCTATTTTTGGGAGGGTTTAGATCAGTTGGGGGTACAATTTGCATTTTGAAAACTCAGTACTGAAAACACTGAGAAGGAATGGTAATTTTATGAAAATTCAGTACCTGAATATAGTATGGATATTAAATGGTGTAAACTGAGACTTGGAGACTACCACAGTGAAATGGGAGGTTGGAAAGTCAAAAAAACTTACAGTCTCAATACCCAGTGAGGGGGATATTTGTGGAAATGAGAGTGCCTACTCTAGGGCTGAAATATGTTCCTTCTAGGTTTTGTTTAGTTTCCCCCCACTATTTTAGCCTTGATTGGCAGTGAGTCTGGTTATATCACTGTTCTTAAATGAAAGGATAAGAAATTCTTTAAAAGTCGTAGATAAGGATTTTTAAAATGACCACAGGCCTTTCTACTATAGTTAACAGTTGTTTTTTTTCTTTTGTTAAGTTTTTATTTTTTTCATTATGTGTGTATATGTCTGTCTGTAGATATGTGCATGGCATGAGTGTAGTGCTTTTGGAGGCCAGAAGAGGGCATCTGGTCCCCTGGAGTTGTAGTTATAGAAGGTTGTGAGTCTCTTTACATGGGTGCTGGGAAGTGAACTTGGGTCTTCTGCAAGAGCAGGATGTTCACTGAGCCATTTCTCCAGCCCCTAGTTAAAAGTTTTTGTTTTGTTTTGTTTCGAGATAGTGGCATACACCTTTAATCCTAGCACTTTGAAGGTAGAGGCAGGTGGATCTTTGAGTTCAAGGCTAGCCTGGTCTACAGAACTAGTTCCAGGACAGCCAGGGCTACATAGAAACCCTGTCTCAAAAATAGTGTTTAAAGACATTAGGATACATGAAATATAATAAAATACTATGTACCTCTGTAAAAAAACAACCATGTTTTACATACTAAAATTGAGTAAGGCAAAGAAAGGGAAAAAGCCAAGTGAAGAACCCCATGTTTTGAGATGGGCCTTCATAAGGTAGCTCAGGCTGGCCTTCAGCGGTTCTTCCTAACTATGCCTGATTTTAACAGTAGCTTAGTACTGTCTATTATACAATTAAAAACATCCTGATTATTTGTTTATTTTGTTTTTTGAAATAGGGTGTCTCTACATAGCCCTCTCTTGCTATTCTGGAACTCATGTAGACCAGGCTGGCCTTGAATTTACAGAAATCTACCTGCATCTGTCTTCCTTGTGCTGGACTTAAAGACACATGTCACCACCACACCATGCCATTTCCTGATTTATTATTTAAAAACATACTTTGCACATTGTTTGCTTGAATTAGGACTCACATAAAATGGTTGTGTTTCATTAGGTTTATGTTGTAAAAGTTGCCATAATCTTCATGTTAGGTCTCAAACCTGGACAGACAGCTGAGGTGCCTACATACTAAAGTGGATGTTGGCTGCCACGTTCTCCCTGCATCCCTTAGTCCCTGCTGTTACAGGATATATTGGCTGGCATACCCCACTCCCTGCCCTAAACCTCTCCAGCCCAGGGGCTGGGCTGCCCTTCCCCAACTGTCCTTTCCTTTTCTAATCCAGCCATTTGAATTACCTGGTCTTTTCGTCTACTCTCTTGGCCAGTCTCTTGGCCTCGGCTGCCCCTCCTGGTCAGCAGCTCTCCCCTCCCCATCTCCTTACATGGCTCAGGGTCAGGTTCACTCTGGAATCTCCTAGATGTCCATGCCTCTGGCTATGCTCTCCCTTTTATCTAGGGTAAACTTGCTTCTCCACCTCGGAGCAGTGTGTGTCCTTTTTTTCCCTGTCCTTCCTTTCTTTCCTTTTTTTTTTTTCTTCGAGACAGGGTTTCTCTGTGTAGGTTGGGTGCCTGTCCTGGATCTCACTCTGTAGGCCAGGCTGGCCTCGAACTCACTGAGATCCACCTGGCTCTGCCTCCTGAGTACTAGGACTAAAGGTGTGTGCCACCACCGCCTGGCCCTTTTTTCTTAGCCTCAGTCTAACCAGTGATGAGACTCTGACATGTTTGGAGTAGGGGAAAGAGATCTGCCTCCTTCAAAGTTCCTGTCTTCACCCACATTTTAGTCTTTTACTTAAATGGCTTTTTTTTAGTAGTTACTTTTCTTATTGCTGTGAAGAGTCACCATGACCAAGGCAACTTAAAAAAGAAAGCATTTAATTGGTGGCTTGTTTACAGTTTCAGAAGGTGAGTTCATGATTATCATGGTGGGGAGCAAGGCGACAGGCAGGCGGGCATGGTTTTGGAGCAGTATACTCTTGATGATCCACAAGCTTGAGGCAGAGTGTGAGACTGGGCCTGGCAAAAGCCCACCCCAGTGGCACACCTCCTCCTCCAACAAGGCCATACTTCTTAATCCTTCCCCCAAACAGTTCCACCAGTTAGGGGCCAGACATTCAAATATGTGGGCCATTCGCCTTAAACCACCACAGTAGGTATTAATGACTGCTAAGGGGATGGTATTTACCCATATATTTGAAGGTTTAAGGTGAACTAGTCTTGTGTCAAACTCACAGTGCTTCAAATGAACAACGTGTACAAAGGCCTTGAAGCAAGAAGCAAGTGGTCTGAGAAACAAGAACAGTGCAGGCAAGATAAGACTAGAGACATGCCAAGAAGCTACACTACGTGTTTAGTAGCAAGTTCCTGAGCAGAATTAGTGTTGCTGTGGCTCCTCTGCCCCATTTTTGGTAGAGTGGTAGGGATTAAACCAAAGTCCTTATGTATGCTAGACAGGCATTCTCTTGTGATATAGTTCCAAGAAATCACACTTGGGAAGTAGAAGTGGTTGTGCAGATAGTGAGTGCAGCTAGGGAGATATTTAATTTCAAGTGATTTAGAGTTAAAATCTTGAAGTCTCTGGAGGCAGAAGTAGGCAGAAGTAGGATCTCTGAGTTCAAGGCCAGCCAGGGAAACAGAGAAACCCTGTCTTGAAAAACTGATTAGGTGGAAGCCGCACCCCTCTCTTTCCCCAGACCCTGCCCCATTCCAGAAAGCTGGCCATTGGCGACTCCTCCCCCCAGATACCCGGGACCATGCCTACCAGCTATTTAAGACTTGGCCCTCTTGTGCTCTGTCTCCTGCCTTCCTGAGAGCCACCCGCGAGTGCTCTGCTTTGCATTGCCCTGTTTATCAAATCTGGATTTATTAATTCAGTTTGATTCGGCTTATTTTCGGTGGCAGAGGAATCCAGCAACCAGGGATTCAAAACTTACCAAAAACCAAAAAGAAAAAGAAAAAAAGCTCCTGTAAGTGATACTGAAAATGTATTTTTAAAAATTTTTTGGTTTTTTTGAGAGGGTCTGTGTACCTCAGGCTGGTCTTGAACTCCCAAGTGCTGAGATTACCGGTGTGCCCTACCCTGATTTCCAGGTAAAAGTTGACACTTTTCTGTGTGGTTTCTTGTCCAGGCATGTTGGAACGCCAGGGTCTTGGTGAATTCCAGCTGTGTGTGTTTCTTCCCTCTTATCTTAAGCACTCTGCTCTGGAGTAACTGGTACCACCTGACAGCCGGTGGGAAGCAGTGATTGTAAATTGGACTTTCAGCTAGAACAATTTACTCATTAGCATCAATCAGCATTGAAGGTGGAACATGTCCAAACCTGTCTCTCTAGTTCAGGATTCACCTGAGGGAGGCATGGATGGCTTAGTCTCCAGCTTTTGTGCTGGATCTGAAATAGAGATTGAGAATCTCAAATGTGAATGAGTGTTTTGCATTTGTTCCAGAGATACATGTGTATATGTCAGATTTTGTTGTTTTTTAAACTGTTGCTGGAAGTTTTGTCTTTTTTTTTTTTACTCTGTTTTGGAGATAGTCTCTCTCTCTATAGACCCTGGCTGTCCTTGGACTTGTGTAGACCAGGCTGATCTTGAACTCAGCAAGATCCACCTGCCTCTGCCTCCTGGGTGCTGGTATTAAAGGAGGGTGCTACCATGACCAGATTATTTATTAATAAATGCTAAATACAGATTTTCCTACTCTACATTTATATATCATTTTTTTCTCTTTTAGTTTGCTGACTGCAGAATCTTCACTGCCAAAATGACTTCACATCCCACCTCTGCCCAGTGCTCAACATCTGACAGTGCTTGTAGAATTTCTTCAGAAAGAGTGAGTCAGGTAATAGCTATCGGGCATCTCATTTCTCTTTAAAATGTTAAGAAATTGAATTGGGGCCTATAGCTGAATTCATCTATTAGAATTTGCTTAAAGCAGAAGTGGTGATGCTGTAAAACACCCCCCCCCCCCAATAGTATTACACAGCCCTGGTTATTCTGGAACTCACTGTAGACCAGGCTGGCCTTGGACTCACAGGGATCCGCCTGCTTTTGCCTCCTGAGTGCTGGGATGAAAGGCGTGCGCCACCGCTGCCCAGTGATGTTGTAAAATCTTAGATTACCTGTTTGAAAGTTACAAACAGCTTGAAATGGCCAAGGTTGGGGATCTGAGATTTCATTCCCTATGCCCCTCTACTTATTTAATTCTTAAAGTTTGTAACACTAGGCCCGTGTTTTAGAAATGGGTATAGGGAACTTGGCTAGGTTATCTAAGTTCTTTTTTGTCTTGGCTGGTTGACATTCGTTGGTTTTCTTTTTGTTTGTGCAGTTTACTTTTGAGGTCTGAGAAAGACAGACATAGACAGGTTGAACCTGTACAGCCCTAGCTGACCTGGACCATCCTTTGTAGACCAGCCTGCTTTGAACTCGCTTGATCCTCCCGCCTTTCTCCCAAGTGCTGAGATTCTAGGCATTTGCTGCCAGGTCAGGCTAGTTTGTTTTATTTAAAAGACTGCCTTAAATTGTGAATATAGCAAATATATATTTTTTTCTTCTTTCCTTTCCTTTTTTTTTTTTTTTTTTCCAAGACAGGGTTTCTCTTTGCAACAGCTCTGGCTCTCCTGGAACTCTTTGTAGACCAGGCTGGCCTCGAACTCACAGAGATCACCTGCCTCTGCCTCCTAAGTGCTAGGATTAAAGGCGTGCACACCCCCCCCCCACCCCTCCACCCCGCAAATATATTCTTATAAAACCCATAGTTTATCTTTAGGTATTTGTGGGCTATTGACTATCTCCTCTCAGATTTGGTGTATCCTATTGCAGACAGACTTTTTTCTTTTTTTTTTTAAGATTTATTTTTATTTTATGTGTATGGGTGTTTTGCCTGCATGTGTGTCTGGGAACCACATGCATGTGGTCCCTTGGAAGCCAGAAGACGGAATTGGATCCCCTGGGACTGGAGTTACAGATGATTGTAAGCCATTGTGTGGGTGCTGGGAACCAAACCCAGGTCCTTTGGAAGAGCAACAAGTGCTCTTTTTTTCTTTTTTAAATAATATAGTTATTCTTATTTTATGTGCATTGGTATGTATGTGTGAGGGTGTCAGATCCCCTGGAGCTGGAGCTACAGACTGTTGGTAAACTGCCATGTGGATGCTGGGAATTGAACCTGGGTTCTCTGGAAGAGCAGACACTGCTCTGAGCTGCTGAACTCTCTCTCCAGCCCTAGACCTTTTGCTTGAATATTTTGTTAAATTATTTTTGTGTTTTCAGAAACATTTCTTCATGTTTCTGTACCTTAATATATGGTAAAAGTAGAATTTGGAATTGATGAAGGAAAGATGTAATATAAATTATTGGTTTTTTTTTTTGTTTTTGTTTTTCAAGACAAGGTTTCTCTGTGTAGTTTTGGTGCCTATCCTGGATCTCACAATATAAAATAATTATTTTACACTGGGCTGTGGTGGCGCCTGCCTTTAATCCCAGCACTTGGGAGGCAGAGGCGGGTGGATCTCTTGAGTTTGAGGCCAGCCTGGTCTACAAAGCAAGTTCCAGGATAGGCTCCAAAGCTACACAGAGAAACCCTGTCTCAAAAAAACAAAAACAAAAAAATAATAATTATTATTTTGTGATAGTCACACATCTTTGGAAAAACAAATTCCAGGTAGACTAAGGATTTAAATATAAAAAGGTAAGACATTGAGAGAAAAATATAAGAAATATTTATGGGGCTGGAGAGATGGCTCAGAGGTTAAGAGTACTGACTGCTCTTCCAGAGGTCCTGACTTCAATTACCAGCAACCACATGGTGGCTCACAACCATCTGTAATGAGATTTAGTGCCCTCTTCGGGCGTGCAGGCATGCATGTGGCAGAACACTGTATACATAATAAAAATAAATAAATAAATAAAATATTATTATTTTATTGGTCTTTTACCTGTATGTATGTCTGTGTGAGGGTGTTGGATCCTGGAGTTACAGACAGTTGTGAGCTGCCATGTTGGTGCTGGGAATTGAACCCTGGTTCTATAGAAGAGTGGTCAGTGCTCTTAACTGCTGAGCCGTCTCTCCAGCCAATAAATAAATCTTTTAAAAAAACAATTTTTTTTTGAAACTTTAGAATGAAAGAGGTCTTATCCTTGAGATGGCTATAAAAGGAAAAGATACAAACTTGATAATAAACAATCTTAAAAAAAATGCCGGGCGGTGGTGGCGCACGCCTTTAATCCCAGCACTTGGGAGGCAGAGCCAGGCGGATCTCTGTAAGTTCGAGGCCAGCCTGGACTACCAAGTGAGTTCCAGGAAAGGCGCAAAGCTACACAGAGAAACCCTGTCTCAAAAAACCGGAAAAAAAAAAAAAAAAAAAAAAGGCCTGAGTGGAGTGGTGCAGGTCTTTATAATCCAGCAGGAGGCAGAGGCAGGTGGATCTCTTTGAGGCCAGTCCGAGCTACATAATAATAGACCCTATTTTAAATAAAACAAAAATAAAAAAATAACAAAATTGTATAACATGGGCGTGCTACAGGGGCCAGCTTGGAGGAGAGTAGTAGGTTATAGTCTGGGCCTAAGTGTTTGGATATGATGATATTAGATACAATTTATTGGTATAGAAGATAATGTAGCATGAAGCAAACTGGAGTTAGAAAAGCCCTACCTCATCTATCTTGTTGATAGAGAGCGGGGAAGGGAGATGCGTAGCAATGAGGAAGTATTGAAGCTAACTCAAAAGTAGGTTTTCCAGTTTTATAATACAGTAGTGTGTTAATAACTTACTAATACTGCCAAGATCTCAGAGTCTTTCCTCTAGAAAATGACATCTTTTTTTCCTAGTGTTTATTTTATCCAAACAAATTTGTGTCTGAGACTCATCAGCCTGTTTTGTCTTTCATCTCAGAGATGAGGTAATTTTTTTGTTTTTTGAGACAAGGTTTCTCTGTGTAGCCCTGGCTGTCCTGGAACTAGCTCTGTAGACCGGCTGGCCTCAAAGTCAAGAGATCTGCTTGCCTCTACCTCCTGAGTGCTGGGATTAAAGGTGTGCACCACCTACCTGAGATAGGATTAATTTAAGATGGCCCCATTCCTTAAAAAAAAAAAAATTTTTTTCCCTATCCTTCCTATGCTAGGGATTGAATTTAGGTCTCATGCATGCTAGCCAAGTGCTCTACCACTGAACTATCTCCTCAATCGTGTGTGTGTGTGTGTGTGTGTGTGTGTGTGTGTGTGTGTGGTTATTCCACAATCATACTTGCCTCTGTCATGTCTGCCACCCACTGCTAGCTAGGTCATGGTTGAAACTGCTACTTTTCCTTACTCGGCACTCTGTCTTCTGGCCAGTACAGCAAGATTGGAATGGAATTTCATGGATTCTTTCCACCTGAAAAGAAGTTTAATTACATATCTAAATTAATAGGAAGTAGAGAATTATTGAAGAGTACTGGGTCTTTTTCATTCTTACTACCATTCTTATAGCTAAAGCATTAGGGAAGATGGGAGGTAGTATTAGCCTTAAAATGTCTTTATTGAGGGATCTGATAGTATCGTCCTATAATCTCAACTACCTAGATGGCTAAAGGTGGAGGATCAAAAGTTCAAAGCCTGCTTGGGCTGCAGAGTTAATTTAAGGACAGCCTGGGCAACTTAGATTCTAGGGGGTGTGTGTGTGTGTGTTTAAAAAAAATATATATATATATGTATGTATGTATATATATATATATATATATATATATATATGAATTAACTGCATTAAGTTACTTGATATTCCCCCGTGTGTATGTGTGATATGTGTGTTTATGGATCTGTGTAGACCAGAAGTTAAAGGCAGTAGCTTGCCTTCCTCAGTTGTATTCCACCTTATTTTTTGAGACAGAGTCTGCTATTAAATCTATAGCTCACTGATTGAGCTAGACAGGCCAGTGAGTTCCAGGAGGGTCCCATTGTCACAGCCTTCCCAGTGCTGGGATTATAGATGTCTGCTGACCACATGTGGCTTTCTATGAGTGCTGGAGATCTGAATGAACTCAGGTCTTCATGCCTGTGTGCAAGCACTCCACTGACTGAGCCATTCTCCACTGCCCAGTTGTCCAAAGTATGAGACATTATATGGACAATGGCTTTCTTTCTTTCTTTTTTTTTTTTTAGATTTATTTATTTATTTATTATGTATACAGCATGTATGACTGCAGGCCAGAAGAGGGCACCAGATCTCATTACAGATGGTTGTGAGCCATCATGTGGTTGCTGGAAATCGAACTCAGGACCTCTGGAAGAACAGTCAGTGCTCTTAACCTCTGAGCCATCTCTCCAGTCCCCTATTTATTTATTTTTTAATACAATTTTTTTGTTTTAGTGTTTTGCCTGCATGTATGTCTGTGCCTCACAGGTGTGTCTGGTGGTAACCAATGCCAGAAGAGCGTGTCAGATAATCCTGGAACTAGAGTTACAGTTGTGAGGTGCTTGAGTACTAGACATTGAACTCAGGTCCCCTGCAAGAACAGCCAGTCCTCTTAACTGCTGAGCCATCTTTCCAAGGACTGCTAACTTTTTTTTTTCCACAGCAGTTATACCATTTTATTTCTATCAGAAATACACAAAGATTCTAATTTTCCTGTTTTCTTGCCAACAGCAGTTTTCTTTGAAAATGTATCATTGTTGTCATCCTTGTAGGTATGAATAGACTCCCTGTTGTAAGCGATTTATCAGAAAGGCAGCAAGTGTCTCCTGGAGTTTTTGTTTGTTTTTTCAGTCTTTAACGGAAGGTCTCCTCTTCCTTAATTTTCAGAAACCAATGTAATTGAAATATAAATAGCAGGTTTATGCTGGGTTTGTGTGGGAGGATCCAGGGAGGATCCAGAGATCAAGGTCATCCTCTACTACATACTAAGTTCCAGGCCTGTCAGCTACATCAACATTCTGTCTTAATGTTTGATGTTTACAGCAGGTACGACCAAAACTGCCACTTCTGAAGATTTTGCAGGCAGCGGGTGCTCAGGGTGACGTATTCACCATGAAAGAGGTAAGTCATCAAAGACAGTCCCAATTTTAAGAACAGTTTAGTAGAGGCCATCATATGCGCAGTTCTGAAATCTAGGCTAAGAAAGGAAGTTGTGCTACTGAACGAGAGCTTTTGCTGGTGTAAAGACTGCCACATTAATTTCCTGTTTTCCTTAGAGTTCCTTTTGTAGTGTATATATTTGTGGTCAACCACAAATTCATTGACCTGGGAGTTATAATATAGCAAAGTGTGTGGGTTAAAAAAAGGTCACAGATTTGCTGCCAGGCAGGAATTTGATGCAGTAACTTTGCCATTGTACATTTGTCAGATACTTTCTGAGCACCAAGTCATTTTGAACATTTAGGAATTTAAATAACTTGCTTAAAACTATCAAAGTACATTGAATTCTTTAAGCAGCAATTAGTATTAAAATGTTAATGCACTCGAACAATTTGCAGTTAGTAAGGTATGTAGATCCTTCACTTTCCCTAAGCAGAAAACAAAATTATGGAGCTCTCTATTTTTCCCTTAGAAGTGCCACATCTTTCAGTACTACTGCTGAAATTACAGATGTCTTTGACTTATGAGGTTCAACAAGAACTTAGAGTAAACAGTTTGGTGTTTTCTTAACCTACCTTTAAAAAACAGTTCAGGGTCAGTTGGGAGGGTAGAAGGGAAATAAACAATGAAGCATTAAAAGCTATTTCAGTAGCTGTATCTCCTCTTCTCCCCCATCCCTTCCCCTTTTATCCTCTCCCTCTTTCTGTTTGTCATAAAATGTATCCAGTGTATCAACCTAGATAAAAAGGTTCTATGACATGCTTCATCTACATTGAAAAGGGCACTTTTCAAGTTGACAATCAGGAATTTTTGAAGTGAGTTTCTGAAAAGAAAAAGTGATAGAATACACTTTTATTTGTTAAAGGCCTAGATTCTGGTTGTTTTTTTTTTTTTTTTTCCTCTGTGTAACAGTACTGGCTGTCCTGGAACTCACTCTGTAGACCAGGCTGGCCTCAAACTCTCAGCGATCCACCTGCCTCTGCCTCCCCAGTGCTGGGATTAAAGGCATGCGCCCACCCAGCTCTGGTTTTTATATTAGGACTAATGGTCCTAGTTACATTTTACATTTGGACATTTGCCAATAGAATACTGAATTGCCACGGTTTTTCACTGTCAGATCAGTCTGTTTTGGTGCAAAAATCTCTGGCTCTGTTGATGGTTGAGTGGATGAACCTAGTAGTAGGAAGCATCTATCTAGTTTGGAGATTGCTTATCTACCATCAGCATCCAAACACTGGCAGTCTTGTATGTCTTTCTCTTCTAGCAAATAGCTTAGTCACTCATGGGTAATTGTGATTTTGGTAGTAGTCAGGCTTATCATTTCATGGTGTTTTTATTTCCATGTAGGTAATGCACTATCTAGGCCAGTATATAATGGTGAAGCAGCTCTATGATCAACAGGAGCAACATATGGTGTATTGTGGTGGAGATCTTTTGGGAGATCTGCTGGGATGTCAGAGCTTTTCTGTGAAAGATCCAAGGTAAAAAGGATGATGGTTTATCTCTCTTTGAGTGCTTATGCCTGCTCACTCGAGCTGTATAGTTTGTTTTCTTAAGTATGTGTTTTAGGGGCTGCATGTTATCTAGCCAGTGAGATACATGCAGAGTACAGTAGTGAGCAGTGTGGACAGTTTGACACACAGACCATGATCGTCTTCATACATGGTAAAATAACATGACAATAAGCCATAGAAGAGAAGTACATGAAATGGGAAATGGCTGGGACTCAGAGTGTCAGAGGTTCCTCAGAGCAACAAAATTTGAGCTGAGCTGGAGCACTTTTTAGAGGGACTAATTGGAAGGAGAGCCTCTGATTGAATATCTTGTAGATAGGTTGAATAGGAGGGAGTCATTACTAAGTTAGAACTTTGTGAGGTGTTAGAAAGGAGGATGTGTGAGCTGATAAGAAAATATAGAACTACAGGGCAGTTTGAGGTTCATGGTGAGGCTAGTAAGAGTCAAGTAGAGTAAATCTGACCTGTGTGGTAGTCTGCTTACATGGGGGTGAATAGAGTCATTGGCTTATCCTTTCAAGCTAGTCAGTAACTGAGAAGCTAGGGTTCTGAAAACAACTTTTTTTTTTTTTAATTTAAAGTTTTATTTCATGTGTATGAGTGTTTTGCTTGCATGTTGTATGTGTTTGCTGAAGGAACCCAAAGAGGGCATAAACTCCCCTGGAATTGAAGCTCCAGCTGGTTGTGAGCCACCATGTGGTGCTGACAGTTGAACTGTGTCTCGGTGAGAGCAGTCAGTGCTTTCCAGCTGAGCCATCTGACTGCCTCACCCACACTCTCCAGTAACTCTCCAATAGTGATTGCTTTCTTCTGATCTTATTTTTCACTCTCCCATTTCTCAATCAAAAACAGAAAACTTGATATCTAGAAGGAAAGAATAATTTTCAAAGGCAGTCTCCCTTATTGGCTTGCTAATAGTCAGTAAATTAAAATTTGATCAGATTTTTACTGGGGACAAGATAGCAGGGGCTGGACATTGACTTCTTTTTGTTTTTTTTAAATAGGTTCTCACATTAGCCTAAGGTAGGCTCAAAATCAGTGTTTTGCTAAGAGTAGCCTTGAACTTGATCTTCCAGCCTGAACCTCCCAAATGCTGGGGTTTCAGGCAAGCACTACTGTACCTGGCTCCTTCCTAATGTTTAAATTATTAAAAAAATTTATGGGAAAAAGATTGTGTGTCTCTAGGAGAAAGTAGGAAGGTAACATACCACAGATATAGTTAATTAATATATAAGAAAACCCCACAAATATTTATATATTATTTCTTTTACAGCCCTCTCTATGATATGTTGAGAAAGAATCTTGTCACGTCAGCCTCTGTTAACACAGGTATGTTATATGTTTCTTCAGTCTGTATTGAAGCTTTGAGTTTAAGGGAGCAAATGGTGGAAACAAGGGTCAAGATGAAAATGGGGTGCTGTCTGTGACATGACTGGGAGGGATATATGTATGACTGTCACACAGATTGGTTTTACTGTTAAGTAACTTCTCACTGGTAATCAATCATACTAAAGCTAGGAGGAAGAGAGAGGCCTACATCCTAGATGTAAATTTTTTTTTTTTTGAGCTGAGGATTGAACCCAGGGCCTATATTTATGTGCTGTACCACTGACCTATATTTCTAGTGTTCTGTTTATTGTTTTGAGACAGTTTCTCCTTAAGTTGCCTGGCTGGCCTTAGTGTCTCACTCTGTAGCCCAGGCAGTCCTTGAATTTGTGGGTTCCCCTGCCTCTGTCTTCCCAGCAGCTGTATTTCTTGGTGTGTGGAAACAGGCCCAGCTTAAGTTTAGTAATTATAAACATTACGTTATATTTGCTTCATCTTTATATGCTTTAAAAAAAATTCAGGCCGGGCGGTGGTGGCGCACGCCTTTAATCCCAGCACTCGGGAGGCAGAGCCAGGTGGATCTCTGTGAGTTCGAGGCCAGCCTGGGCTACCAAGTGAGTTCCAGGAAAAGGCGCAAAGCTACACAGAGAAACCCTGTCTCGAAAAACCAAAAAAAAAAAAAAAAAAAAAAAAAAAAATTCAGATCTTTCCCCCTTCAAACATAACCATATCATTACTGTACTCCTAAGTAATAATAAAATTAATAAATGTTCCCTAATCCTGTTGAATAAGCTAGTTTGTAGTTTGTTTTTCCTCTCATTCATCTTAAAAATACCATTCATTTTTGGTTTGTTCAGGTGAGGATCCATAGTCCATACATTGCATTGGGATTATTGCAAAATACAAACTTACCTGCCTTCTTTGTGTGGGTGTGTGTGTGAGAGAGAGAGATTTGGTTTGACATTAAATTGATACCTTTTTTTGAATGTCACATAATAATTTGTGTATGTATTTGTGGGGTATCATGTATTTTGTTACGTATAGAATGTTCAGTGATCAATTTGGGATAACTTAGCATATCTACCATCTCAAGTTTATCCTTTTTTGTGTTTTGGAGGCATTCAAAAATCTCCATTTCTAGCTATTGAAATATTCAGTAAACTACTGTGTCCACCGTATTGTGGTATAGGCTACTGCTTTTGGTTTTCATCATATTGGTTGAAGATTTGGGTAATTTGTCCTGTAGGATTGCCTGTGTTGTAGAATTGACAGATTGTATCCTTGTGGTTGTATTTCTCTACTCTTGCTGTTGTAGAGTAATGCTTGAATAGATTCATTTAAATTTCTTTGCTGACAGATCTTCATTGATGGTGCTTTGGACTTCTCTTTCCCCCTTTGTGTGTCTCACATTAGTTACTAGCCTGTCCCTTTTTCACATCCAATCTGTGAGCTCTTGTTAGTATTGCTCTGATCTATCTAGTAAAGGTTCTCCCAAGAAACTTTCACCTTAATGATTTTAGTAATTTGTTTGTGCATTTCTTTACTTATTTATGAGGCAGAGGCACACGTTGTAGTTCAGGTTGGCCTGGAACTTGCTGTATACCTGAGGCTAGTCTCAAACTTGGAATACCTGCCTGTCTCAACCTCCTGAATATTGGGATCCCAGTCATGAGCCACTACACTTGGCTCAATAAACTGTTATCTGCAAGCCAGTTTGACTCTTCCCAGACCTTTTAAATACTGCCTTTGATTTTGTTATGAGGAGAAAACTGGCTATTTTGGAGTCTGGTTTCCAAAGTGGTTGGGTGGAGATGCTGCTAAAATGTGTGTGACACTCTCCCTCACTCTGGACAATGAAACAGTCTCCTCTTCCTGTTTGCCTCCTTAGATTTGAGAGACACTGTCCAAGTTACACTATCTTGCTAGATTTTGCTTATGTTCACAGAAGTAAATAGACTACAAAGAATCTTCTTAAATCTCTTTGTGTCAGTGAAAGACGTTGAGAGGGGAGCTTCAAACAAGAGGTCATTTATGAACTAAAACTTCCTTTGGAAAGTCACCGATGGCTTGAAATACATGAAGGGTTTTATAATTTTGATTTGTATAGTTAGTTAAATTTGTTTTCTGACCCAGCCATTGAATATTTAGAGTGAATACATTCTTACTTCACCCCCCGCTTATTTTCTTTCTTGTACCTTTTCTGCATATATCTTTCTCTATTGTGTATTATAAAGATAAAATATTTCTTTAACAATTCAGTTCATCTCTACAGCCACCCTCTGAAGAGGTTCTAGAGGTAAAGAAACAGAAAGTTTATCGTTATTTTTAAGTCCAATGAGTGATTTGCCCCGTACCAGACTCACGGTCACTGGCCATGGGCTAGTCCTTGCACTCTCCATTATACCACACACCGATACGTCCTTAATCCTTCTGAACTAACAGAATTTGCTCCACCCTCCCAATTTTTTGGACACACATTTTTCCTCTGAATATTGTTATTAAACTTTTTTATTTAACTTGTCATTCTGAAGAAATTTTGTACTTAAAAGCTACAGAATCCTTATAGAGTGGTGAACACCTGTAATCCCATTACTTGGGAGGCAGAGATGGAGGATGTAAAGTTGCAGTCTAGTGCAGGCTACATAGCTACCGAGTCTCGGGAAAAAAGAACAAGTATTAAGTACATTGCTCTTTACCCACATTCCCTCACTGGCAGTATGTAACATAATCATAGCATAATGATGGCCTAGGAAATTGTTGCAACTTTTTCAAGGATTTTTTATGTATGTATGTATGTATGTAGGGTTTCATTTTGCAAGGACTTTGGATTGTCTGCTCTGACTTGCTTTTATAGTTAGTGCTTATGGTTGGATGTCTCTGTTGACCTGAAAATAAATTGGATTGCATGTGTTTTATTTGAAAGGACAAATGAAGAAAAGTGCTTTTCTTATAACTTGCACCTTTGCAAGTGGGTTAGACCTTTATCTATTTTGATTGTTGAAGAAAATGGTCATTATGTAGAATGAAGGTGGTTCTTTCTAAATAATTTCTCCAACTTTCCCCAGGTACACTAATAAAATGAAGTAGATATAATAAGCTTTGTAGTTTTAAATTTCTTTCTACATTGTAGCTGTCTAGATAATTTCTTCTTTTGCTTTTAACTAGTTTAGCTAAAGTATAAGACTTTAGTAGTATAAGTGATCACAGATTGCTTTTTTTTTTTAAATAAAAAGAGAAGAGCTTCACTTGCATTGTGTTAGTTTGTTCTTGCTTTGAAGATGACTTTGGCAAGGAAACTCTATCCCTGAACTTGTCCTCACTTAGCTATAAAAATGCTTCTAGAAATGTTACAATTTTGAAAAATGTTTGTTTTGTGTAAACCAACTGAATTGTGAGAATAGTTAGTCTGGATCTGGATTCTCAGCAGTCAGTTGGATGCTGCTGCTGTTTTCTGTGAATTCGTCTTTCTGGCTCTCCTAGTGGCTGGTGAACCCAGTCCTCAGCAGACACACTTGAATGTGTCTCAGTTACACAGAGCTTATAGTAATAGTGTAGATCAGGTTAGCATCCCAGTAGCTTGTTCTTTTCTGTAGTCATGTTTTTAGGTTTTGTTTCACTTAAGACTTACATAAGTCCTTGGGATACATTTCCCTCTTCAGCTGATGCATATAGGGATGTCTGTCTGGGCTGTGAGGTGGCTCAGTGGGTTAAAGGACTTGCTGTGCAAGCCTGATGACCTGCACCCACTGTGGAAGGAGATAACTGACTCCTAAAGTTGTCTTCTGACCTTCACAATGCAAGTGTGACATGCATGCCCATTATACACAATAAAACAGATAGGAAAAATCTATAAGCAATTTCTCTCAACTATGTTCTCCCCCTCTCTCTTTTCTCTCTACTTCTGTTGATTTCTCGGAGAGAAACATTCACTTCTTTCTTCTTCCAAAATGTTTGTAGTCTGAGAAGAGTAAGACTTAGTGACAGTCTGTATTCAGGGGATTGGAATTCAGATCATGAAATCATCATTGGCATTTAAGCATGCAGGTTTAAGGTTTGCTTGAAGATGGAATTGTTTTCTGAAAGAAGTCTGGCATTTCTGGTTTTAGTTAGATCTTGTCATACAACACTTAAAAATACAAACTAAACAACTTTTGTTGTTTATAATGTAGGCAGTTTGTTGATAGAGGAAGAGACGAACACTACATTGTTTTCTGCTTGAGGTCACTTTTTGTGTAAGAATCTGAACACGTGCCATGGAAGAGCATATTCAGCCATTTTGCTTCCCCCCAGATTGTTCTGGTGTCATCTTTTACCATGGCCTGTCTTGGTTTTTGTCATTTTTAGCAGTTTTGGTTTTTTTCCCCCGTCTTGGGAATGAGAGTCTTTTCCAGGCAGAAGTCCATCTAGAGAGAAGAAGCCTCCTCAGGGCTGTGTGCTGAGGTTTTGTGGAAAGAATGGTTATTACCAGGGAAGGTTTTCCTTTTGTTTCACTTGCTATCCAGATGCTGCTCAGACTCTCGCTCTCGCACAGGATCACAGTATGGATATTCCAAGTCAAGACCGACTGAAGGTAAACTCACCGCATGGTGACTTCTTTTCTTGTACAGAGTGGCCCCTTCTCTGTACCTGTGGACCTGGGGCTCCCAAGGCCTTTTCGTGACTGTGGTAAGAATTTAGTAAGAAAAGTCCTTGGGAGTTCACAGTCCAGGGACAGAGTGAACCTTCTCTGTTCTGCCCTTACCAGAGTTCCAGTCTCTGAATGTGTCTTTGGGATGTAGCACTTCTGATTTTCACTTCTTCCAGTTGCTCTCTCTCTTTCTCTCTCTGTCTGTCTGTCTCTCACTCTGTCTCTGTGTGTGTGTGTGTGTGTGTGTGTGTGTGTGTGTGTGTGTGTGTGTGTTTGCGCATGCATGTGTTTAAGATGGTACCTATCCGAGTTTTGGAAGAATTGCTGTATTAGATAGACTCTAGCAGGCTTGTTGCAGTTAAGTTCATGTCATGACATTTCCTAAAGTTTCCTCAGACCTGGGGAAACTTAAGATCATCTCGGAATATGGTGAGGATGTCACATGTTTTCTGAATTATGCCTAATATGAAGTAGGCTATGCAGACAACCTGTTTTTCAGTAGTGTATTTTGTCCTTTGTACAGAGGTTATTCCCCTTCCCCAAGTTTGGGATTCTGCTCGCTCTTGTCGTGGTGTTGAGAGGTGTTGTGTTGCTGCTTTACTTGACAGCTCTTGTCAACTGCAGAACTCTCTCTCTCTCTCGTGCGTAACCCATTGTGTTGCACACTAACTGGTGAGCCGGAATGGAACTGCTACATCCCCTGGTCTTAGTCATTTCTGCTGTCCTGACAGACACCTTTCCCTTTCAGCACAGTGCATCAGAGTGTTCCAGTTCCAGAAAAAGAAATGAAGAAGATGATACGTATACACTGCCTACCTCACAACCTAAACGCAGAGATTCTAGAGGAGGTAAGCTTTGGATTAAGACTTTCTCTCCCTCCTTCATTTGTTCTTCTAGAAATGGCATCTGCTGTGGTCCAGCTGCAGCCTGGGTTCAGGTTCTGAGATGGGGAAGGGGTGTCGGCACGAAGAAATGTGCTTCCCGACCACCAGATGAGTTTCACACAAGTGGCCGGCCGGGAATAGCTCCAGCTGTCTTTATTTATACATTAGAAACAAGCATCAAGCATGTTTTTCCATACTAACAAGTTTTTTCCATCCTCCAATGTTAACCTCCAGCAAAAACAAATGTCAGATATGTTTTCTCTCAAGTTTTACGTCAAAACATCTTTAAACAAAAAGCAACGCTTATCATTTTGCTACTTTCGCCAAATGCTGAGCCAGGTACATCCTGTCTTTACAAAACTAAAAGGTGATTGACATAGGCACACATTTTTAAGAACAACAATCCCGTTCAAAACATATTTACAGAAATAGGGATGATCTGCCTCTGATCCTGTGAGCACTGAATCAGAACAGCTCCTGGGGTCTGAAGTGACAGCTGCCATCCCCAGACAAGAAACCTGAGGAGCATCCCAAAGAGTTTTAGGGGAAGATATTAGAGAAAAAATGGGGTTTCCAGGAATGATCACATCTGTCCCATGCATGATTGATAAAATGACACTAAACCCACATGGGCCTGGGCACATTTATGCCTCTGTGATTGCCATCGCCAGGTCCAGTACATTGGAAAGAGACAGAAGATAGTGAGAAAGTAGGGGAAGGGTAACGTACTAAAAGAACTAGAAAGATTACATATGGCAACAAAAGTGAACTTAGTAACTGTCTGAGTCTCTACTTAAACCGTGGGGCCTTGTCATCTGTGGTCCTTCTAGGAGCCCTTGATCCAGAAATGACAAATACATGTTTATTTGGACAGTTTGGAGTTCTCTGTTGATAGTTATTGCCTAATAAAACTTACGCATTACTGATAAATATCTTAAATATGTGGTACCAGTAAGACTTGAACCTTGTGACTCCCCGTTAGGATCTATACCCCCCCCCCTCCCGCTTTGATCTTGGTTTTGGCTACTGCATTATTAACATTTGTAATACACTGACTAAGCCATTATCAAAACATGTATTACAGTAAGTCATCATCATTATTATGTGTTTTTGAGACCAGATCTCACTGTGTAGCCCTGGCTAACCTGGAACTTGGTATGTGCTGGAATTAAAGGCAGGTGTGTGCCAACATGCTTGGCTCTAAAGTCATTATTGTTGTTTATTATAGTGTTAGAAATGTTTAAAATTGCCGGTCGGTGGTGGCACACGCCTTTAATCCCAGCACTTGGGAGGCAGAGCCAGGTGGATCTCTGTGAGTTCAAGGCCAACCTGATCTACAGAGTGAGATCCAGGACAGGCTCCAAAGCTACACAGAGAAACGCTGTCTCGAAGAAAAAAAAAAAAAAAAAAAAAAAAAGTTTAACATTTCAGAAAATGGCAATTTTTGAAATCCTTTTAGAACAGTACATTCAGATACTTCTAGAGTTTCTTGTCCTGAAGTGATCTTCTGCTCATCATATTACTGCTTGCTAATGGAACCTAAATGGGGGATTTGAGCCATGCCACTAAGGTATTTGTTTCTTTCTTACTGAGAATAGGAGTTTCTTTTTAGTTATTTTTACAAAGATTGTTCAGTATTCTGAGAAAATCTTGGTGGTTCTTTATTACCTACAGTTATTTTCATTTGATTTCTGTAGATGAAGACTTAATAGAACATTTAACTCAAGATGAGACATCTAGGCTGGACCTTGACTTTGAGGAGTGGGATGTTGCTGGCCTGCCATGGTGGTTCTTAGGGAACTTGAGAAACAACTATATACCTAGAAGTAATGGCTCGACTGACTTACAGACCAACCAGGTAAAAGTCCAGTCTGAGGGAAGCTGCTGTGTGGTTCTTGCTTGCTCTGACTGTATTGCAGTCTTACTGCTTTGTTTTATCTGTATGAATGATGCCTAGATCTCTACAGACTTTTCCAAATTTCACAGTGAACGCTGTACATAAGTGGTGGACACTAATAAAATCTGTTCTTGGACATGAAATCAATGTAGTTTAGCCAAGCTACAGGAGGTACTGACTTCTTTCTCTGTCCTATACGTTCAGGTTGTCAGGACTTTTATCCAGAACACATCAGAAGCTAGCCTGTTTGTTTTTACTGCTTTAACTGTCATAACCCAATTAAGCCATTACTGTTTTTCATGTAGATAGTAGGGCAATTTCACACCACAGCTTCATTTCTTGGTTTTAATATTTTTGATTTTTAAAAACGTGTGTGTGTGTACGTGTGTACACGTACTGTGTGTGTACTGGGAGGGGTGGATTAGATCTCCTGGAACTAGAGTTTCAGCAGTTGTAAACTTCATGTGAGTATTAGGAACTGAACCTGGTACTCCAGGCATGAGTTCCTTCTTGTGGAGTGGTTCTCATATGGTTGTGTGTGTCAACTTGACACAAGCTAGAGTCATGAGAGAGTTGAGGAAATGCCTCCATGAGATCCAGCTGTAAGGCATTTTTTTCAATTACTGAGCAGCGTGCGAGGGCCCAGCTTCCTTGTGAGTGGTGCCATCCCTGGCTGGTCGTCCTGGGTTCTATAAGAAAGCAGGCTGAGCAAGCCATGTGAAGCAAGCCAGTAAGCAGTACCCCTTACTGGTACTCTGCATCAGCTCCTGCCTCTAGGATCCTGCCCTGTTTGAGTTCTTATCTGCTTCAGTGAGAAACAGCAATGTGGAAGCATAAGCCAAATAAACCCTTTCCTCTCTAACTTGCTTTTTTTTCCATGGTGTGTTGTTGTAGCAATAGAGACAGTTGGTTACCCCCATAGCAGACCATTATTGCACCAGTGGGTACATCTCACCGGATAAGTTGGTATTATAGGTTTCTTCTCATCTAGGAAAGACTATTGATGAATTTCTCCCCAAGAGTACATTTTTTTGTTGTTTTTGGTTTTTGTGAGACAGGGTCTCTACATAGGCCTGACTGTGTACCCTGGAACTTAATGGTATAGACCAGTCTGTAGCATGAATCTTAAAAGTTCTTATTAATAAAATCAAACCCGAGGCCAGTTATTGGGGTCAATGCTGGTAGATCAGAGAGACAGAACAAGCCACAGCTATCTCACCTTGCCAATTCCTCAGCTGGTCCTGTTTCCTCAGACTGGAAGCGTCTGTGTCCTCATCCCAATGGCTCTCAGCTGAACTGTGTTGCTCCAAAGCCTGAAAGCTTAACCAGCCAAATGCTTAACCAGGCAAATGCTTCTAGTTTCTGGTCTCCACGCCTTTCTTTCTGTGTTCTATCACCACTCCCTGGGATGAAAGGCTCGCTTTGTGGGATTAAAAGTGTGTGTCACCATGCCTGGCATTTCCAATGTGGCCTTGAACTCACAGAGATCCAGAGAGATTTCTGTCTCTGGAATGCTAGGATTAAAGGCGTGTGCTAACATTTTTAGCCTAAGTATCTTGTGGCTTTTCTGTTCTCTGACCCCAGATAAGTTTATTAAGGTACACAATATTTTGAGGAACACAATACCACCATACCAGTCTGATCTCACAGAGCTCTGCCAGTGTTTGCCTCCTGAGTTCTTGGCAAGAGTAAATTTTTTAATGAATAACTTGCATTATTGCCATGTTTATAATTCTTCTGTGGGATCAGAAAATAAGAAAAATAAGATCTAGACTCCTTACTGTAGGGGTCCAGCCCCCACCTTTTGAAGGGTTCTTAGGTGGAGGAGAGAGGAATTAAGAAATATTAGGTAGAAAGATGGGGTTGGGGATTTAGCTCAGTGGTAGAGCACTTGCCTAGCAAGTGCAAGGCCCTGGGTTTGGTCCTCAGTTCCGGAAAAAAAAAAAAAAGAAAGAAAGAAATATTAGGTAGAAAGAGAAACCTAGAAAGACAGAAACACAGGATAGCTTTGGGAGGGCCTGGATCAATACCCAACAGCCTCGTCCTTTATTGAAAAAAGGGCTTTTTATAATATGCCAAGGGGAGAGGCAAAAGACCTCCCTTTGCAAGATCAAAGCACACCGCACAGCCAAGTGTAGTTTCCAAACACCTGGTAACCACGCCGGTGGCCAAAGCATCTCCTTACTCAGCCCTGCTGGGTAAAGCAAGCTCATACTCTCTGACTCTGAGTTCTCACTAGAGCCTCTGTGGACTCCCACATCTTACCATAGCTGTAGCTTATCTTCATCAGTCTTCATTGTTCGCTCGCTGCCTGCCTTCTAGACACACAAGACTGTATAATCCTTGAAATTCAGCGTTCCTTCCTCCCCCAGACAACTTAAATTTGTTTTCTGCTTTGTGAAACGTTTCTCGCCCCAATCTTTTTATTTCCTTCTCATGATTTAGAACTTGACTTGAAGATAGTTTCTTTTTAGAGGTCATTATCACTAGTTCCAAGGTTACTATGTTGCATAATTCCAGAGGGATCCATTTCTCATTTTGTAAATGTGTACTTCTAAGCAGTAACCCTATAAAACCCACCCTCAAAAGTGCTTCTTTTACAGCCACCCTAGTCCTTCAGCTTTTTTTTCTTAAGTCTTTTTTAAGTTTTAAAAGTTAGTATATAAAGTAATGGGTTTCATTATGGCATTTCTATAGATCATTTTATTGAGTAAAAAATGCTTTTGCTAATAACAAAAGTGAGTAAACAAATAAGCTGGACATTCAGAACGTGAATCACCTTTTTTTGTTTGCTTTTGTATTTTGAGACAGGGTTTCTTTGTGTAGCTTTGGCACCTTTCCTGGAACTCACTCTGTAGCCCAGGCTGGCCTCGAACTCACAGAGATCTGCCTGCCTGTGCCTCCTGAGTGTTGGGATTAAAGGCATGAGCCACCACCGCCCGGCCGTGAATCAACTTTTAAGACAGTGATGGCATAAGTAATTAGTACTTTTATTTATATTGTTTTAACAAAATAAAATATAAGATAAAAACCGTCATATTGAAGTTGGACAGGGCAAACGAACAGAAGGAAAAGTGTAGTGGGAATCTTTTTTGTTTTTGCGTTTTTTTTTTGTTTGTTTGTTTGTTTTTGAGACAGGGTTTCTCTGTGTTTTGATGCTTGTCCTGGATCTTGCTCTGTAGACCATGCTGGCCTCGAACTCACAGAGATCCACCTGTCTCTGCCTCACAGTGCTGGGATTAAGGGTGTGCGCCACCACCGCCCGCTAAAGGGTTTTTTTTTTTTTCTATTTTTATTTTATCTGCATTGGTGTTTTGCCTGCTTGTATATCTTCATGAGGGTCTCAGGTCCCCTGGAACTGGAGTTACACATAGTTGTGAGCTGCTTCGTGGCCACTGGGAATTGAACCCAACTCCTCTGAAAGAGCAGTCAGTACTCTTAACCACTGAGCCATCTCTCCAGCCCCTGTAGTTCGAATTCTAAGTGGTCTTAATAAAAACCTGGAGTCAGACAGATACCAGGGTAAATGCTGAAAAATCAAAGAAGTAAAGGAGCAGCCAAAGTCACCTCTTCCCTCTCCAAATCCTCCTACTGAAAAAAGGCTGAGCTCCTGTGTCTGCCCACCTTATATTCCTCTTTCTGCCCAGCCATATCACTTCTTGCCTCCTGTCTATACAGACCTCCAAACCTCCATGATTAACTAATGACTAGTTCCACCATCTGATCTTAAGGCAAGTTTTATTTGTTAAAGCACAAACAAAATACTACCACAGCAAAACTCCCAAGAGAAGACACAAGAATTAGAGACCCACTTGTTCACACACACAGGAGTCCCGTAAAATGCTAAACTGAAAGCTATAATATGTACACAGAGGACCTGGTGCAACCTGTGTAAGCCCTGCGATTGCTCCTTCCATCTCTGGGAGTTCATATGAGCTTTGCTCAATTGATTTAGAGGGTTCATATATCTGTTTCGTTTTGTTTTTTGAGACAGGATCTCACTATGCAGCTTTGGTTGTCCTGGAACTCACTACATAGACCATGCTGGCCTCTAACTCAGAGATCCGCCTGCCTCTGCCCCCCAAGTGCTGGGATTAAAGGTGTGTGCCACTATGCCTGGTTTCATATTTTCTTCTTAATGGTCCTCCATTCCCACTCCCTCCCTATGTCCTCCACCTGGTGGCCCGTTCTCCCCTTTAGTAGTGTCTCTCTTTTGCTTTCATGTCACATGTGTTCCATGACTTTCTTCCAACTCCTTAATATCTCTATTTGTCCTTGATAGTTTCATGAGGCCTCCCTCCCCCAATTAACATCTAGAACATGCATATGACAGGCAACATTCATGTATGCCTTTCTGAGCCTGGGCTATTTTACTTAACAAAATGCTCTCTGGGTCATCAGTTTTCCTGAAAGTGTCATTTTTCCTTATGTCTAAGTAAGAGTCTATTGTCTCTAGGTACCATAGCTTTATCCATTCATCTGTTTCATTTCTTAGCTAATGTGAGAAGTACAGCAATAAACATGGATGTGCAAGTTATCTATGTGGTAGGGCTTAGAGTCCTTTGAGTATATACTGGAGTGGGGAAATTGTATGTGAAACTTTCACGCAGATTTCCATAGTGACTCCATTCGTTTTGTTGTTACTGGTGTGTGTGTGTGTGTGTGTGTGTGTGTGTGTGTGTGTGTGTGTGTGTGTGTGTGTGAGTGTGTGTGAGTGTGTGTGTGTGTGAGTGAGTCTGCGTTAGTTTATTATCCCACCAGCATTCCTTTTCATCATTTGTTGTTTGTTGTCTTGCTTTTATCTTAGTTGATATTCTCAATTGCACTTGCCACTTTATAGAAACACTGTTAAGTTTTATATTTGTAATTATTGTTTACTCTCATTGAAATGTAAGACCAGGGCTTTTGCATTGTTCACTTACTGAGTACCTAGAATAGTATCTAGTACATAATATGCATTCAGTGAGTGTTCTTTAAAAAAAGGTCATAGAACAGTAGCAAAACACAAAGTTCTAGAAAATGTCATATGGATAATGGGCTGGAAAGATGGTTCAGAGGTTAAGATGTTCTTGCAGAGGATCTGGGTTCAGTTCTCAGCATCCACATGGTTGATCACATCTTGTTACAGCTCCAGTTCCAGAGGATCCCCTTTTCTGGCCTCTGCATTGCATGCAGCAAAACACCTATAGACATAAAATTAAAAAAAATAAAAATTCTTAACAGATGTCTATAGGTGAATGTAAAAGTTAAGTTTGCATATGTTGGGTGTTTAAAGTTTCAGAAAGTAGTTGTGTGTGGTGGTGTATGTGTATAGTCTGAACACTGAAGAGGTTGGGGGCAGGAGAATGTTGAGTTTGAGGCCAGTCTGAGCTGTAGTGTGAATTCCAGGCTCACCAGGACTACATAATGAAATTGTTTTTCAAAAAGAAACACAAATTTCAAGAGTATCATGTTCAGAGAGTGGGACTGCCATCAATATTTTCCTGGAAAGCAGTTACTGATCATTAAATTAGGAAGGAATATGTCAGAAAGCATAGAACTTTCCTAGATTCCCATGTGTGGAGATGACTGTTGAATGCATTGTGTTTAGTAGAGCTACTGGTAAGTTTTTTTTAAGCTATTTTTGTACCATTTTTTGTATATTGTACCTCATTTAGTGTTAAAAAATTCCTTGTCAGGTACCTATACAGATACCCATTTTGTAACCTTAGAAGGTGACCTGCTGAATGAAGACATGTCTGTGAGGAAAGTCATGGTGTACTCTGGGTGGCATGAGAGGACATTGAGTTGGTTCAGCATCTCTCATAAGTCACTGATTACAAAGCTCACTTTTGTTTTTCTCTGTTAGGATGTAGGCACTGCCATTGTTTCAGACACTACGGACGATTTGTGGTTTTTAAATGAGTCAGTGTCAGAGCAACTAGGTGTTGGAATAAAAGTTGAAGCTGCTAATTCTGAGCAAGCAAGTGAAGTAGGGAAAGCAAGTGACAAAAAGGTATGTGTGAATATTTTCCCTCCGCACTGGAATTGCATTCATAGAACTGTCTGTTTAGGTGTTGAGTATTTCTCTGTTCCAGTTTTCAGATTTAGATTAAGTTAGACAAGGCTTCCTTAGAACTGAGCCAGGATTCATGGAGAAGCTCTTGTTGCTTTAGGGACATGCTGCCCCTTCCCTCCTCTGGTCCATTTTAGAATATTTCTTCTAGAAACTTTTGCTTATAAGGCAAAGCTATAAATGGCCTCAGCAGTTTCTGTTACAGGAGAAATAGCCTTATGTTTTAAGAACCTTGGTAGCTTTGTGACCACTTTATAACTAAACTGGAAAAAGCTATTGTTTAAAACGTACTTAGGGACTGGAGAGATGGCTCAGAGGATAAGAGCACTGATTGCTCTTCCAGAGGTCCTGAATTCAATTTCCAGCAACCACATGGTGGCTCACAACCATCTGTAATGAGATCTGGTGCCCTCTTCTGGCACGCAGGCAGAACATTGTATACATAATAAATAAATAAATCTTTTAAAAAAAAACATATTTAAAGTGAGTTTGATTTTCTCTCATATTAAGGGAGTTGGGGATGGGGGCTAGAGAGATAGCTCAGTGCTTCAGAGCCCTTCCTGCTGCTCTCCAGAGGACATGATGAGTTCACTTCTAGTACCGGTGTCTGGTGACTCACTGCTTCTCACTCGAGCTCCAGAGGACCTAATGTTCCCTTCTGGCCTCCTTGGGCACTGTATTCACATGCATAAACCTGTATGCACACACACAGTTAAAAATAAGTCATAAAATAAAAGGAGTCAGAGCTGGGGGTAGTGGTATATGCCTTTAATCCCTGCACTGGGAGGCAGAGGCTGGTGAATCTCTTGAGTTTGAGGTCAGCCTGGTCTACAGAGCTTGTTCCAGGCTGGCCAGTGCTACACAGAGAAACTCTGTCTTGAAAAAACCTTGAAGGAATTGGACTGTCAGTACTGTGGTATGAACACACACTGTTAAAGCAGCAGCTCAGCTCTCTGAAGAGTTTGGCAGCAGAGCTAGTGCTTAGCACATAGACAAGTCTCAGTAATACCTATTGATTATGTGTGTGAAAATAGACGAGACCCATTATTTTATACACTAAGTGAAAAAAAAGATTTTTAAAAAAAGATGAAAGAAAAAATATACTGAATAAATGTAGCAGTAGATAAATGCAACAACAAAAACAAATGCTGGGTTAAATCGGGCCATCTTATTCATAAAGTTTTTCATAGGAATTTGGGGGTTTCGCTATAAATATGTTAGACTCTCTAAACCAATTATAGACAACATTGGAAGGAATGTTGGTGACTAAAATGAAGATGGACAGTTTGGAAATTTTTTTTTTTTTTTTTGGTTTTTTTTTTTTTTTTTTTTTTTTTTGGTTTTTCGAGACAGGGTTTCTCTGTGTAGCTTTGCGCCTTTCCTGGAACTCGCTTTGGAGACCAGGCTGGCCTCGAACTCACAGAGATCCTCCTGGCTCTGCCTCCCGAGTGCTGGGATTAAAGGCGTGCGCCACCACCGCCCGGCGGAAATTTTTATATAAAGTAGAACAGGTCATAAAATACTTGAACATTTGAGAGAAAATCATAGTTTTGCCATGTAGACCTGGCTATCCCAGAACTCACAGAGATCCACCTACCTGTGCTTCCTGAGTGCTGGAATTAAAGGTGTGCGCCACCACCCCCAGCCAGTAGTTGCTGCTTTTACATTACTCGCATTTGTTTTCTTTGAAGTTGTAAATTTGGACACCTCTTTCTGAAAATAGAAGATATTTGGTAACCCTCTGGCTGCTTTTCCATCATTAGTGTTACTAAATTGTCAACCATATGTCACAGGATCAAGGTTTTGGTCTTACATTTATGTTATATCCTTTTTAAGTGGTAGTGATATGGGATAGAGTGAGTTTTGCATTGAAGCTGTTCATCACTTGTGCTTTGTGGATAGCATTTCTTATGTGGTCTGTTTACCTTCACAGATGATTGGAGTGGGAAAAGATGATGATCTTGAGGACCCTAAGTCCTTGAGTGAGGATACTGATGTGGAACTAACCTCTGAGGTAAAAACTGTTTGGCTGTGGCCAATTTTTAGCTGAATCGTAGTTCCCATGCATTGAAGACTGTCACTTTTTACTGTTTCTGTCTACTTTTCCTACTTTTAAAATGTGTTGGGTTCTTTACATTTCAGCTTAAGAAGTTTTTTTTTTTTTTCCTCCGAGACAGGGTTTCTCTGTGTAGCTTTGTGCCTTTCCTGGATCTTGCTCTGTAGACCAGGCTGGCCTTGAACTGACAGAGATCTGCCTGCCTTTGCCTCCTGAGTGCTGGAATTAAAGCATGTGCCACCACCGCCAGGCTATAAAACAATGATTTGATCTAATATTTTCCCTACCTTGGGAAAGATGATCAAATACCTCTGTTCCCACTATCAAAACTCTAGACAACTGGGTGGTGGTGGCGTACACCTTTAATTCCCAGCACTCAGGAGGCAGAGGCTGGTGGATCTCTGAGTTTGAGGTCAGCCTGATCTACAGAGGGAATTCCAGGACAGCCAGGGCTACACACAGAAATCCTGTATAAAAAAACAAAAACAGCCGGGCGGTGGTGGCGCACGCCTTTAATCCCAGCACTCGGGAGGCAGAGCCAGGCGGATCTCTGTGAGTTCGAGGCCAGCGTGGGCTACAGCGCGAGATCCAGGAAAGGCGCAAAGCTACACAGAGAAACCCTGTCTCGAAAAACCAAAAAAAAAAAAAAAAAAAAAAAAAAAACAGAACAAAACAGGATGGCATGGGGAGATGGTTCTGTGGGTAAATCACCTGCTGTGAAAGCATGAGGACATTATTCAGAACCCTTGAAAGGCAGGCTTAGTAGTGCGTGTCTGTAATCCAAGTGCTCTCGTGACAACAAGGAAGAGAGAATTCCTGGTAGCTCACATGCCAGCTAGCCTGGCATGTGCAGTAGCTAATGACAGAGACCTTGTCTCAAGATGGAAGGGGAACAACAACCTGAAGTTACCCCCTGATCTCCACAAATATGCCATGGCACAAACCCATACCGAGCCCCCCAGCTCCTGACACACACCCAGAGTAGAGCTCCATTACTTTCCCTCATTTTAACACCTTTCTCATCTTAAGGACCTTTCATAAGTTTTGTAAAATCTTTGAGTTAAAAAAACAATTTTACCAGCATCTGTTAAAAAGATGCAAATGAATCTGCTAGTGGTGGTGCAGTGCACTCAGGAAGCAGAGGCAGGTGGATCTCTGAGTTCCAGGCCAGCCTGGTCTGCAGAGCGAGATCCAGGACAGGCAGGGGCTACACAGAGAAACTGTCCTGAGAAACAAACAAAAATATGCAAATGAAAACTAGCTTAATTTCCATACAGTTAATATTAATGGAGGGTTACTAAAGAGTTGATATTAAGCTTTTAGGTAATAGGGCAAGTTTGTTGCCAAGTGACAAGTTAAATCAGCCTAAATGTATACTTTGAGTTTTATTTTTTTTAAATCAAGTTTCCGCTGTAGCTTTACTCACTGTGGAAACATGCTAGGAGTTGAATAAAAAGGGCATTTCACATTTTGCTGCTTGGAGATAGAACTTTAGTTTGTCCCTTGTGTTGATTCTCACCCTCTGTCCCTACTGCTGTTGACTATTATGGTAATTCTTTGCAAAATCATCTCTCTTTGCAAAGATAAGTGATAAAGAGGAACATAATTGGTCTAGTAAGTGTTCTTGACCATAATACAAATAGCTGAGATAAATGTTCTCATCTTAATCAGACTTCTGTGGCACTTGGGCACAGAAAAGCTATTAAGCAAATAGATGATATTTCATCAAATCAAAGATGCCATTGGACTTAATAAGCCCTGCTATTTTATGTACTATAAAAAAAGCAATGGCAGTTAAACTGTAGCATACTATCAATTATGAATTCCAAATTATTATGACGGTCTTTTGAGTATTTATATAGCATTTCAGGCGAGATTGAAGGGTCCTAAACTGGTGAGTGTTGTAGTTTAACAAATGGTCTATGCCTCTTGCCTCTCATTCTGGGCAGTTGAGTTGTGACCTCTGCATTTGCAGTGCTTGGCTTTTGTGTTGTGTATAAGTTACTTTTCCATTGCTCTGAAAAAAACACCATGACCAGGGCAACTTAAAAAGACAGCATTTAATCACTCTTGAAGTTCTAGAGGGTTAGATTGCAGGTAAGGCGAAGGTAAGGCGTTGTGAACAGTTGATTGCTCACATCATAAATTGCAAGCAGGAAGTAGGGAGCTGAGGAAGCTTGGAGACTTTGGAAACCTCAGGCTGCCTCCCAGTTACACCTCTTCCAATAAGGCCATGTCTTAGTCAGTGTTCTATTGCTGTGAAGAGACACCATGACCATGGCAACTCTGATTTAGAAAAAAGCATTTAATTGGGGCTTGCTTACCATTTCAGAGGTTTAGTCCATTCTGGTCACAGCAGGGAGCATGGCAGCATGCTCTGACATGGTGCTGGAGAAGTAATTGAGAGTTCTACATCTGGATAATGCAGGCAGCAGGAGGAGAGAGCCACTGGGCATGACATGGGCTTTTGAAACCTCAAAGCCCACCTCTAGTGACACGCTTCCTTCAACAAGGCCACACCTTCTAACTCTCTCAAATTACTGCCACTCCCTGGTGACCAAGCATTCAAAATCTGTGAGCCTATGAGGGCCATTCTTACTCAAATTACCACAGGCCACAGCTCCTAATTCTTCCCAATAGTTCACCAACTGGGAACTAAATATTAAAATGCCAGAGACTTATGAGGGATATCCATTTAGACTACCACGTCCTGAAAGAAATCCAGTCTGCCTGTGTCAAATCATTGATTCTGTCAGAACCAGGCAATCATTCACATTAAATACTCTTGGCTCATTCCAGATAGCTACCTTTGAATTAAGCAAGGCATTTAAAATTCATTGAGCTGTAGGTCTTCTAATAGAGAGAAGTAGAAGGAAAATTGCTTGGCATTCAAGGACAAGGACATCATTTTTCCAAGGTGTGATTTAGGCATGCCATTAGCTACTTATGACCCTGGAACAGTGAGAGGTTGAGGAAAATCATTTTCAAGTCTCCTTTTTTTGGTTTTCTCATTGATAAGGTGTTTGGTTTTTTTTTTTTTTTAGATTTATTTATTCGATTTATTCATTTTTATTTTATATGTATGTGTTTTGTCTGTCTGTCTGTATGTATGTATACCACATGAGTGCTTGGTACCTCTGGAGGTCAGAAGAGGGCATTGGTTCCCTTGGAACTGGAGTTACAGATAGTTGCTAACCACCATGTGGGTACTGGGAATTGAGCCCTGTCCTCTTGAACAAGTGTTTTTTGTTTGTTTTTCAAGACAGGGTTTCTCTGTGTAACAGCTTTGGCTGTCCTAGAATTAGTTCTGTAGACCAGGCAGGCCTTGAACTCACAGAGATCAGCCTGCCTCTGCCTCCTGAGTGCTGGGATAAAAGGCATGTAGCACCATGCCTGGCTGAACAAGTGTTCTTAACTGCTGAGGCATTTCTTCAGCCCCAGTTTTTATTTTTACTTTTAAAATTTTGCATGTGTGTTTATGCTCACGTGTGTTTCAGCACCCTCAAGAGGCCAGAAGAGGGCTTTGGATCCTGATCCCTTCAAGTTGAAGTTAGTTTTGAGCTGCCCTACTGGGTCTGGGAACTGAACTCGGGTTTTTTGCAATAATAGCAAGTGCTCCTAACTGGTGAGCCATCTCTCCAGCTCTTTTGATGTTTGTTTGTTTGTTTGTTTTGTTGGTTTTTTGAGACTGAGTTTCTCTGTACAGCCCTGGCTGTCCTAGAACTCACTCTGTAGACCAGGTTGGCGTTGAACTCAGATCTTCCTATCTCTGCCTCTCAAGAGCTGGGATTAAAGGTGTGCACCACTACACCTGACTTTTTTTTAAGATTTATTTTTACTTTGTATGTATGTCTGTGTACCACTTGTGTGTCTGTTGTTCTTGGAGGCCAAAAGAGGGTGTTGGATCTCATGGAACTAACATTACAGGGAATTGTGAGCTGCCATGTAGGTACTAGGAGCCAAAACTGACTCCTGGAAAAACAACCAGTGTTCTTAACCACTGAGCCATCTTTCCAGCCCTTTGTAAATTTTATATTTTAGCCACTGGCCAGACAAGGAATAAATTGTGAGTGGAAAAGTGACCTGAAAGAAGGCACGTAAAAGAAATATAATTGTCATCCAACCTGGCTAGTCCAAAATAATGAACTTTTTAAAAAGATAACTATACCAAATTTAGATCTGAAAAGAGTTGTGGCACTCTCAGTGTAAAACTTGTGAAGATTGCTGGGCAGTGGTGGCACACGCCTTAATCCCAGCACTCGGAAGGCAGAGGCAGGAGGATCTCTGTGAGTTTGAGGCCAGCCTGGTCTACAGAGTGAGATCCAGGACAGGCACCAAAACTACACAGAGAAACCCTGTCTCGAAAAACAAAACAAAACAAAACAAAAACAAAACAAAAAAAACAAACCTTGCAAAGATCCTCTTTTCTATGAGTATAGAATTTGTTCAGGTCTCAGGTTGGATCACTGATATGGGATGTCTAAAGAAATACTTAGTGAAATGAGAATTCGAATTTGGCCTATCTTCCTGTTTGTTTTGTTGTTATTGGGAGGGGGTCAGTGAACACATTTTCTTAGCATCTTTTTTACCACTGTTTTGATTGGCTTCACTTAACCTCTTGTAGGATGAGTGGCAGTGTACGGAGTGCAAGAAGTTTAATTCTCCAAGCAAGAGGTACTGTTTTCGTTGCTGGGCCTTGAGGAAGGATTGGTATTCGGATTGTTCTAAATTAACTCATTCTCTCTCCACATCTAATATTACTGCCATACCTGAAAAGAAAGAGAATGAAGGAATTGATGTCCCTGATTGTCGGAGAACCATTTCAGCTCCAGTTGTTAGGCCTAAAGATGTATGTTTAAAGGAAGAAAATACCAAGTTTGACCCTTGTAACTCAGTGGAATTTTTGGATTTGGCTCATAGTTCTGAAAGCCAAGAGACCATCTCAAGCATGAGAGAGCAAGCAGATATCCTTTCCGAGCAGAAAACGGATACAGAGACTATGGAAGATTATCAAAACATCTTGAAGCCGTGCAGCTTATGTGAAAAAAGGCCTCGGGATGGGAACATCATTCATGGGAGGACAGGCCATCTGACGACTTGTTTCCCCTGTGCCAGAAGACTAAAGAAGGCTGGGGCTTTATGTCCTGCTTGTAAGAAAGAGATTCAGTTGGTTATTAAAGTGTTTATAGCATAGCTGAATCAGCTGCAGAGAAATACTAGGACCAGGTCATTGCTTAAAAATCAGTATTCTTAGAGGTAGGAGCAGAAGATCGCCAATTTTGATGCCAGTCTGAGCCATATAGTGAGACCTTGTTTTTCAAAGCATCAGTATTGAGCATTTTTTATAAATGTGACCCATTGTATGTGTTTGTTTATATAAACAATATAAATATAAACATAGCATATATGGAATTTCAGAAGGTCAGTTTGAGGGTTTCATTACTATTACAAAATAGGTACATCACTGTGTTCTCCTAAATCTCAAATCTGAGATGGAATAATATCAATAGAAACATAACAATGCATTTTTTTATTCACTTGGCAAATTATTGCAAGAGCATAACCTGCTGTTATGTAATGTTCTTGGGACATCAAAATCTAAGGTAATTATTAGAAAAATACTAGGGCCAACACTGAAGAAACAAATTGATTAGTTACTCATTGTATAGCCAAGGACGACCTTCAGCTCCTGATTCCCCCGTCGTTTCTGTCTATGTGCTATGCTTACAGGCAGGCTGTCCTACTATGCCCAGCTGAAATCTCTCAGCTTTAGATCAAATAAATAACAGGAGTGTACATCTCTGCACAGCCTTCTCAAAGAGAAGGTACAGACTTTGTAGTCAACACTTTGTGTTTGTCTCCTGGAAGCTGGCCAGATATTTTTGTATTCAGCCTCTAGAGTTGTTCACACTCTGAGGCAATGGCCTATGGTAGGGTTTGAACAAGTGGAGAGAAGAGGGAGTGTAGCATCTGTGAAAAGGGAGTGAAACAAATTGATCTTTAATTCTGCTTAGTCATTTTAGACCACATCAATTTAGTATAATACCAGTATACAAACTGAAGTTCTTCAGACTGAATCCTTTATACTTATCTATGTCTACTGAACCTGTCTATGTCTTGGTGTTTCCCCAGCAATATAAGTAAATCACTTTAAAGACCAAGTCTCTAGAACTATTGAACTTGGGGGGCTGTCTCAGCCTTTCCTATGGCTCCTACTCTTAGAAATGGGGAGATACATGGTATCTAATCCCATGATGGCCCTGCTGGACCAGGACCATTGGGGCTTCTGTAATGACTACTAAAGAGAGAGATGTTAGCATGTGTACATTCTTGCATTGACCCTATGTTCCTGTCTGCCCCCCTGGTCTACCAGTAGACCTGACCCCACCAAATGCCTATTGGGTTAGTTATTGTAGTTACTCTTCAACTGCTGTGACAAAAACCATGACCAAAGCAAAATATAAAAGCATTTAATTGGGCTTGCCTTTTGAGAGGGTTAGATTCCATGATTGCAGAACAGCTGAGCTCACATCTTGATCTGCAAGTAGGAGGCAGAGAAAGAACCCCAGGAAACCTGAAAACTTGTCCCACAGTGCTGTACTTCCTCCAACAAGGCTACATCTTGTAATTCTTCCCAAACAGTTCTACTAACTGGGGGCCAAGTATTCAGTGGCCTATGGTGGCCATTCTCATGTAAACTGCCACATTCTACTCCCTAGCCTCCATAGGCTTTTGGCCATCTTATAATGCAAAATGCATTTAGCCCAACTTCAAAAATCCTCATAGTCTTTTAGTTTTGACATAATTTAAAAGTCAAGTCAGAGTCTTGTGAAACCACAATCAAAAGCAAATTATATTCTTATAATACACAATGGTCCAGAATATACATCACCATTCTAAAGAGTTGTATTCCAGGAATAGTGAGGAAATATGGACCAAAGCAAGACTGAAGCCCAGCAGAGCAAATTCCAAATCCTGTAACTTTGTGTCTGGTGTCAAAGAGCATAGATAAAGCCACCCTTCTTGCTTTGCTGACTGCAGCATACTGTCTCTGATTCACTTTCTTGTGTGCAGCTTTCCTTGGCAGATAATTATGGCTCTGACACCTCTACATTGGCAGGCTCCTCCCTGTGTGGCCTCAGTAGTGGTCTGAACTGGAGGAAGGTTCCACAACCCCCTTCCTCATGTACCCAGGAATCTAAAGCAGAAGACACTGCCAAGTTCTGCTGCCTGCTTAGGAGGAGCCTGGCCGCCTTGACTCACACTTGCAGCAATTGTACTTGGTTGTTGCATTTTAGGAGCTGGAACTTCCTTGGGCCTTTTCCTTTCACAATTTGGAAGCTTAACTTAATTCGGCTATTTGGAAGTCTCTGTCAAAGAAATTAGTCTTATTACTTTTCACTTTAAGCTTAGACAGATTCTTAGGACAAGGGCAGAAGAAGGCAGCCACATTTTTGCCAAAACATCCCAAGAATAGTCTTTAACTCAGTTGCTAATAATTGTTATCCGCTGAAGCCTCTTGATCTCGGCTTCCACAGACCACATAGCTTTTGACACTACTGTCTTCCAGGCTTTAACCATTTTCTTAGTCCAAAGTCCCAGTCTTCCACATTCCTCAAAAAAAAAAACCCACATGGTCAGGTCTTTCACAGCAGTGGCCCACTTCCTGGTACCAACTGGTGTCTTGGCTACTCTTCAGTCGCTGTGACAGAACACTCCAAGGCAAAGTATAGAAGAAAGCATTTATTGGGTTTATGGTTTCAGATGGTTAGTTCATGATGGCAGGAACATCTGAGAGCTTCACATCTTCATCTGCAAGTAGGAGGCAGAGGAGAATCCTGAGAATGGCATGGACTTTTGAAACCTCAAAGCCTTCACCTGTGACACACCTCTCCCAACAAGGTCTTCCCAAATAGTTTCTCCAGCTGGGGACTAAAAACCAAACAGCCTGTGGAGGCCATTTCTCATTCAGACCACCAGTTTGCAAAGGAGTGCTTTCCTACCCGGATCTTGACATTGCTCCCAGTTGATAATTTCACTAGGTGTAGCAAACTTGAGTAGGATTTTCCTTTCCTTGGTGGCCAAGTCCTTGCTAGTCCAGAGCTTCTGCCAGTATTAACAATCCTGTAACTCCTGTTTGGCTTGATGTGTAGGCTCTTTGAGAGACTGATAATAACAGACGTCTTTATCCACATCTCCATGGTGGTGACAACAGGAGCGTAAAGGTGATCACAGATGTCATCAGTCACAACCCCAGCTTCAGAACAGGCTACGATGTATCCAACCCTGGACTCCAGTCATTTCCTAGGCAGGATGTTGACCACCTCCTGAGTGGAATTGGGTCTTTAAGATTTTCAATTCTAAGCACTGTATTCAAAATAGAATGTGTTAAAGGAAGTCATTTTACTGCATGCTAATGCTCCTCTCTTGGGGCAGGGTCTTGCTGTTTAGCTATGACTGGCCCGGGCCTCACCCTGTATCTCAGGCTGGCCCCAACCTTGCAGTGATCTTCCTGCTTTTGCCTCTCGAGTGCTGGGATTATAGGCATGTGCTGGCTAAATTTCTTACTTTGGTTGTCATTTAAATGAGTATTTGTGATCATGCTATCTTCGACAGAAAGTGCAGAGCAGAGATGATAGGTTATTAGAAAAGTCTCACTGTTACTGTAGTCCTTACCCAGGACTTCGTGGTTGTTGGTATGCTTCTGTATTTACTACTTTGTCACACTAGAAGTTGAGACCACGCTTTCACACAGGCGGGTACTGCCTTCCCAGCCCCTCTAGATGTCCTAGATTTCCCAGTGAGGGCTGCTACTGGTGGATCAGAGCAGCCAGTCCAGCCTCCTAACTGCCACAGAATTGTGTAATAGCACGTTTTACTGCCAAGCATTTATGATTGTGTGATTATATATATATATATATATACACATATATATACATTATTTATGTATATTTAGATGTGATACTTTGTATGGTTTGGAAGAATTTATTCTGAAAGCCAGGATCGCTTGTAACATTTGTATGTCAGTTCAATGTAATGGTTCCCTTGAAAAGTCACGATTGTGAAATTGGTGAATGTTCCCAGTCCCCTAATGTTACCCGTTTGGTTCTCGTTAGAAAGGAAGACGCTTTTCGGCCTAGCTATTTGGCAGTGTTTTCGTTTGTTTGGTTCTATTCCCATGATGTTCTGTGAACTTACCTAATGTGGCTTTAGATACTGTGACTGTTATTTTTCCTTTTAGCCTAAATTGTTGCTGAAGCCTAAAGACTATTTTCTGATGCCTCCAACTATTCATGTATATGTATAATATCTAGATTGATGCTACCCTTTGCTAAAAAATCTTTAGATAAAGAATTAGCTGTTTAGAATCTGCACTAAAAAGATAAACCCGGAAGCTGTCCTCTGTGCCAAAAGTGAAGTGTACAGTGTTTACAGATGGGTGGAATTTTGCACTGCCGTAGGGAATGGTGAGGTTATAGCACCAGATTCCTTAGATTTATGAGTAGATAGTTGCAGTACAGCTTGTAAGAGGAGGGACTATTGAGCCCTCTCAGGCTGACCTGGAACTGAGTATCTGAGGCCCATGGTTAAAGTGACTCCCTAGCTCTAGCTGGGGAGTAGTTTCCTGTCTGTTTGGAGATGTTCTTCCTGTTGACAGCACTTGGTTGTCTGCAGTTACTATGTGCTTCCTTTAGAGGAGCTGCCAGCCCTCCCTCCTGTGGGAGAATGTCTTCTAGGCATTTTGAGGTCTTTGGATGAAATAAATGTGCAATCCCAAGTCATGCCATTATTGGTAAAGAAACTTACTATAAATTATTTCTATCTACCCTCTGTAGCTTTTTTTTTTTTTTTTTTTTTTTGAAGAGACAGGGTCTTGTTGTGTATCCCTTGGTTGACCTAGAACTTGCTTTGTAGACCAGGCTGTCCTTAAACTTACAGAGATCTGCCTGTCTCTGCCTTCTGAGTGCTCGGCCTAAAGGCATGTGCTCCCACCCCCATCCTCAGTAGCCTTTTGAATGGCCGATGTTACTGAAACCTGTCTCACATCCATGGTGCTGCTTTCCTGCTCGTGTGTGTTTGCAGAGGCCACCAGTCCCTTTTAGGAGTGCATCACAGCCAGGAGAACTCCCCACTTCTTCAGATAAGCTAAAAGGGCAAGCAGTGCTGCTAGGACAGTTCCTTCAGTGGTTTTAGAGTTGGGCAATGCGTTACTGAAGATCAGCCTTGTGTTGTGACCTTGAGGGCCAAACTGAGCATTTCATTTGTTACCCAAAGGCATTTGGTGTTTTTAAAAAGCAAGAGCTTGGATGTGTGTAGACATTTCCCCCCTTCCCCCTTTATTGTTGCTCTTATGCTCTCCTAGTTTGAAATTAGCTGGGTTTGGACACTGCTTTTATGCCGGAGACCACCGGTAACTCTGGGTGGTTAGACCTGCATTGTACTTATATACGGTCCTTCTTTAACCAGTCCTGAGCAATGCTGTGTTTGCGGAGGACCATGAGCTCAGTCAGGAGGGAAGGCTGGGAGGTCAGAGCTGTCATCTGGCTTCCTTTGTGTGAATGATGGTGATTAGGTCATGGTTATTTGCCTGAGCACTGAGGAATTGAGGTCAGTCTTTCCCCTCTTCATGCCCATTTGTTTTCTCCGTAGTCTTCAGTCCCTTTCCGTAAGCACACCACCCACCACATTAAGACAACAGTAGAAAATGCAATGTTCTTGGTCTTCTCAGCACTTGGCATAGTAGAAGTTTCAATCAGTGTCTGAACAGGACTGTCTGTAGCTTGCTGTGAATTGGTACCTCTTGGGTGAAGAAAGATTACCCCAGCAGCTTGTAGCCTAGTCTGAAAGTTGTAAGCTGCCATTTTTCTCAACCTCTAAAACCAACATACACACCCACCCCTTTCTACCTCAGTTTGTTGTGGAGACTCTTGGGGAGCAATTCTTACAAACTTACTGCCTTGAAGAAGATGAAATAAGCTAGTAGTCTTGGTGGACTGTACTCTGAGGTCTGTATTGAGACTCCCTCATGTTCTGGAAATATGTGCAGTTCTCTTTGCCTGCTTGGCAGGGCCTGTTGCTTGTTGTAAGTCCTTTGCCCACATGCCTGTCCTTTCCTTGACACCAGGCTCTTGATTAGGAAGCATTGTCTCCAGATGCTTTGAGAAGTGCGTGTAGATTTTGATAGCACGTTCTATCATGGAACTCCCTTGCCGTGCGTGGGCTTGCTGTATAGCAATTCTTTCTGCATGCACTTGAGTAGGTGGCGTAAGATGCTCTGCTGGCGTGAAGAAACAGGTAGTTCCTGGCATCCCAGTCGGGTAGTGGCCAGTGTAGTAGCAAATGGGGGGTAATAAATTGAGAAGAATGGCAGCTTACTAACGAGAGGGAAGTGTTTCCGTGTGTCCTTGTGTAACTTTTTACAGTACCACTGAGTTAATAGCCCTGTACCTGGGTGTTCGCACTATGTAATGCTTCCAAGGCCTTTTTATCCTGTTTTTGTGTGATTAAACAGTTTTCATTTCACTGTGTCGTCATTATTGGAAATAATGTAATTTTGTTTATGTACAGCTAACCCATTTTCTGTTATCTTTGGCATGATTTGGGGGGAACCAATTAGTCAGTAGCACTCCCCCCCCAAGTTGCCTATTAGAGTAATTGTATTCATTTCTGCTTCCCACTTATGAAACTCAAAATTGGCAGAAGTAATATTAAATATGGAGCTTCCTATGTCTTCACATATATGTCCCTAGCATCTACTGAGTGTCCAGCACAGCAGTTCTTGAAGATTTGGAGATTAGAGTTCTTGGAAAACTAATGAAATTTATGGAAGCTCTTTATAAATAATGTGTCTCATTTTATATATATATATAAATATATATATTATATATTATATATATATATTATATATAATATATATTATATATAACATATAATATATATAATATATATATTATATATATATAATATATATATATATATATATATATAGAGAGAGAGAGAGAGAGAGATGGTTTAAATATTTTATATTGAATCTCAGGACGGTCTTAAAACTATTGGTCCATGATCCTCATATTCTGCTCTTTGGTGGGATAGCTTGATACTGCATATACTATTTAAGAGACTGTTCACCTGAATACCTAAATACCACTAAAATTGGTTCTGAGTCTTTGGTGAGGTTGGGCTGCCATGTAATTGATACAGATTGTGTATGGCATAACTTTGGGCACTGTTCATAGACTGCCAAATAGTATTGTCTCAGTGTGTGCAGCCTCCACTTGTGTGAGACCCTGGGGATGAGGCAGTGTGCTGCTAGAAATGTCAGGCATGGCCATGCTTTTAGGATGGGAACAGCCAGAGGAGCCATAGAGACAGTTCTGACAAGTTCATCTCGGCAGTCGTCTCACATTTGTGACCTTAAGGTGTGCTTTTATGTTACTGGTTTGGGGTGGAAGGTCTGCTTATGTAGCCCAGACTAGCCTTGAACTTGTGATCTCCTGCCTCAACTTCAGTAGGTATGCACTGCCGTTTATGTTACTTTGTGATGCAATTCCAGAGGCTGTGTCTAACATTTTGTTCACTGAGCTTTTACACCTGCCCTGTTTGAGCTGATGGTGCTGAAGATGGAAGATTTGTGTTCCTGATGCAGGAGGGAAGGTAAGCTGGGCCTAATGCTGGGCTCACAAGACTTGTTAGATTCGAAGTCAGTGTTTCCTCCGCACCCGCCCTCCTGGATTTGCCAAACACAACCTATACATGAATAAAAAGAGGGAAATTTAATGGTACCACTGCATAGAGCGTGAGAATATGGGGGTAACCTTAACTCTGCATGTTCTCAACCATGAATTCATGGTTAAGTCATCCTTTTCAAAATATACTTATCCAGTCAATACTAAATGTACTGTGAACATAATAATGACTATGGAAGCTGCCTTCAAGTTAGCTGGTGTTTAAGGGCAAACTAGGATGGGAAGTAAATTCCATGTGGACCTAGGAGGCAGCAGTGAAAGATTTGAAGGTGAGAAAATGTTAGGAGCCTGCATGAGGTGGAGCAAGGCCACTGGAGGGCTGATGGGCAGAAGGTGATAGGCCACTGGAGTCTAAAGTTGTCTCCCGTCCCACCCGGCTCTGCGGTCCCACAGCTGCTTATAAAATAATCACTCACAGGCTTAATATTTATAAACTGTATGGCCTATGGCAGGCCTCTTGCTGGCTAGCTCTTATATCTTAAATTAACCCATTTCTATTAATCTGTGTTTTGCCACATGTTCTGTGGCTTTACCAGTCTGCTGGCATGTTGCTCCTTGGGTGGCAGGCTGGCGTCTCTCCAGACTCTGCCTTTCTCTTTCTTGTGTCTGTCCTTGGATTTCCCTCTTGCCTCTAAGCTGCCTTGCCATAGGCCAAAGCGGCTTATTTATTAACCAATGGGAACAACATATATTCACAGCGTACAGAAAGACATCCTCCAGCAGGCCATGCTAGGAAGTTTGGATCTTCTGTATCCTAAAGACCGTCTACGAAAGGGTTTTAAACAGACATGTTTGCACTTATAAATACATTGCTCAGTAGAGAAGTGCTGTAGAGCAGAAGCAGGGACCATGGGCTGTGAAAGTCTGGAGCAGGAAATGGTGTCATTCCCAAGACGTGGCAGTGGAAAGAAGAACATGGAACAACCACTTGTGTCTGTTGTCCATGAGGTGATAAAGGTGTAAAGACATTAGATGTATGTCCAAGGCACTGAGAACTGCAGTCAGTGAGGGAACGAGACAAGCAGCAAAAAAGTGGCTGGCTTTGGGGAAAGCTGTGGAAAACACAGCCAACTTAGGAATGGGTGGAGTGAGCAAAGGGAGAGTCAGCTGCTGGGACGATGGCTGCCACTTGGCAGAATTAACAGGAGTAAAGCCAGGTGTGGTGGTACATGCTTTAACCGTAGCTCTTGGGAAACAGAAACAGGCAGATCTCTGTATTTGAGGCCAGCCTGGAACATAGTTCCAGTCCAGTTAGGGTTACATAGTGAAACCCTATCTCAGGAATAAATAAATAAATATAAATGAGGGTGAATAAAAACCTAGATCCACACCTGGTACAGACCTTTGATATCAGCACTTGGGAAACAGACGGGAAATTGAAGGCCATTTGTGGGCTACATGGGGAGACCAACAGTAACTATGAACAAAAGAAGAGGTTTTGGCGGTATTGAGAGGAAAAAATAGGTGCTGAAGAGATGGCTCAGTGACTGACAGAACATACTTCCCTTCCAGAGGCCCTGCGTTTGGGTCTCAGCACTCAGGTAAGGTGACTTACAACTCCCTGTAACTCCAGCTCCAGGGATCCAATGCCTCTGGCCTCCATGAGCACTTGCACATAATTCAAAATAGTCTTAAAAAATAAAAAGGAGAAAAAAAATAAAAAGGAGATGAGTTCCAAGAGTGTTGGTTTTGCTCATATGAGAACATCAGAATGGAATGGAGCTTAGGAGGGAGACCAGCTCCCACTTTTTACCCCTAGGATACTCTTGAGAGAGAAGTGAGAAATGCTTAGATAGAAATATAGTATAGAGGAGAAAGACAGAAACACAGGATAGCCTTGGGAGGGCCGGGATCAAAGCCCATCAGCCCCCTCTGGCTCTACTAAAGGGCTTTTAAAGGAATGCCAAGGGGTGGAGCAAAAGACCTCCCCCAGCACAGCCAAGTGCAGGCCCTTCCAACCACCTGGGGACCATGCACGTGGTCAAGCCATCCCTCCATGCAGTCCTGTGTAAAGCAAGCTCAGATCTCACTAGGAAACCTTTGTGCTCCCACAAGCTTAGGAGAGACCTGGACTGTGAATGTTAAATGCCTATGAGTGTCTTGTGTGTGGTGGTGTGCAGTGGGTGTGAACATACCCTAGTCCTAGTCAGGGAAGCTGGTAGAAATTGTATGGTTACTACTAGGAAAGTCTTACTGAAGCTGCTATATTAGTTTGTTGGTTGTTAGGGGTCAATAGGCCCTTAAGTCTTCTCCAGAAAAGATGTATGAGCTTTTATTTCAAGAAAATTGGTACACCCTCCAGCCATCTGTGAGTCCTGGGCAGGGCTCAGAATCACCTGGAGGGCTGCACCTACAGATTGTTGGGCCACCCAGAGGCCCCAGGTGCTGTAGGTGTCCTCTGCTAGTGACCATCCTGAACTGTTGCTGAAGTCCATGGAGGGCTAAGGGGGAAGACTCAAAAGCATCGTGGGGGCCGGGCGGTGGTGGCGCACGCCTTTAATCCCAGCACTCAGGAGGCAGAGCCAGGCGGATCTCTGTGAGTTCGAGGCCAGCCTGGACTACCAAGTGAGTTCCAGGAAAGGCGCCAAAGCTACACAGAGAAACCCTGTCTCGAAAAACCAAAAAAAAAAAAAGCATCATGGGGGACAAAGTGGATTTTTGTTTTGCTTTATGGGACTTGATTTTAGTTAGGCAGATACTCTATATTTCTGCCACAGAGAACATGTCGGAGGAGCAAGTGCTTGTTTCAGGTTTAGGGCCCAGCGTGTAAAAAGATGTCTTGTAGGCTAACGTCACCTTGGCGTGTCTTGACCATCTTTTTTTTTTAATTTGGTTTTTTGAGACAGGGTTTCTCTGTGTAGCTTTGTGCCTGGAACTCACTCTGTAGCCCAGGCTGGCCTTGAACTCACAGAGATCCGCCTTCCTCTGCCTCCTGAGTGCTGGGATTAAAGGCGTGCGCCACCACCGCCCGGCTGTCTTGAGCATCTTAACTTTGCAAGACAAGAAATGATACCAAGCATTATGTGACCCATGGAGCATGTCTGACCTCTCCTCAACCTGGGGCTTTACCTTTTGAAAAACCCACTAGTGGGCATTAAACAATGCATTTGAGTTGTAGTGGAGGCTTACTTCTACTGCCCTAATGGGGGGATCTTTAAGCTCTGGCAAGTACCCTGCTCAAAACTGGATGAAGCTGCCACTTCAATAGGAGATATATTGGTAGATATATATGTTCATGTGTGTGTGTGCATGAATAACCTGAGGTGTTGTATAATATACATTACATTGGTAAATTGTCATATACTGGTTAAGCTTAGGTGGACTCTGGGAGTAAGGAGGCCCACCCTTGTCTCCTGGCCGAGCTGGCCTCTAACTAGTAACGAGGATGGAAAACAGGAAGCACCTAAGAGTCAGTATTATGTTGGGCTGGAGAGATGGCTCAGCTGTTAGCCCTTGATGCTTTTCCAGAGGACCTGAGTTCTATTCCCAGGAGTCAAGTCTGATAGCTCACTACTGCCTGTAAGTTTGGCTCCAGGGGATCCAACATCTATGGCTTCCTCAGGCACCTGCAATCACATGCACATATCTACCATCCCTATACATAGAGTTAACTCTTAAACAGTACCTGTGTCCTTGAGAATGGCTAAAAAGTAATTACTTCCAATCAAGGTTACTGTTTTTAATCTGACAATATAAAGCTACCCCCAGTAGGAAGGAAAAGTCAAATGCCCATCTGCTTTGCCTGTAACTCCAACTCCCACTAGGAGCTGCACCATG